CACCAGTAACAATATGTCAAAACACTTAAATAATTATTCCATAAAATACACTGAAGCACCAGTAACAATATGTCATAACATTTAAATAATTATTCCACAAAATACACTAAAGCACCAGTAACGCTATGTCAAATCATTCAAATAATCATTGCATAAAGTACACTAAAGCACCAGTAACACTATGCCAATACACTTAAATAACCATTACATAAAGTGCACTAATAACCACTAACAATTTGTAAAAACAATTAAATAATCACTTCACATAATACATTAAAACACTAAAAAATTAATAAAACATTTAAATAACCACACCATAGAACACACTAATAAATCCGTATACACACGCATAATCACTTAAGGAAACACACTAGTAAAGTCACTGATACTTGTAGAACCACACCATAAATTTTGTTAATACACCCCCATATTTAATAAAAAATATTTATTAATGCACACTAAACACTAGTATTAGTACACTAGGTACACTTATATATCCGTATATGCATGCAGGAAACACACTGTTAAAGTCACTGACACTTGTAGAATTACACCATAAATTTTATTAATACACCCACGTATTTATTAAAAAATATTTGTTAAAGCACACTAAAGACTAGTAGTAGTACTGTAGGTAACCCGAGGACAAGCACAATATCGGATAAGTGAGCCTTGACTCGTACCGGTAAGTGCTGACAGGTGCCGTCTGACCTCCTCGACTTCCAAAATAAAACTGAGAGCATTTGACCTCCCTCCACTGTGAGAGCTATTGGTAGTTGACAACAGCCAATTAGACATCGTAATGATCCATCAATCGATCTAATTCGATCTCCTTAGTGATTGGTGATTTACAGTAACCAATTAGACATCATGTAATCGACCAATAGCGTGCAGCCACTATGATTGCATGTTGTATTATTATTCTAATGTTAATTTTTTTATAATTTTATATTTTTCGATTGTTTATTAACAAATTTATTGTTGTAACTATTTAAATTTATTATTTTTTTTAACTTACTTTTGAGGATATGTTGCAAAATGATTGTTAATTGATATATTACGATATATTTTACTGCAATTAATAATTTTTTAGTTATTTATTTATTAGGTTGTTGTTGTAACTATTCGAATTCGTCGTTTTTATAAACTTACTCTAGCAGATATGTTGCAAAATGATTGTCAATTAATATATTATGTTTCTTTTTGTAACTCATTATTATATAAATTAATTATTGTAATTCATTATTTTCAAGTTTTTCGTGCGAGTATCTTGTAAATTATCTACAAATTATTGTATTCGAATTTATCTTTATGTAATTCTTTATAATTATTTATTACCGGAGAGACTCAGTACAGTGTGCGAACTGTTTTGAACACATGATAGTTTCATATTTTGTGAAAGTTTTACGCGCAGTTTTTTAAAAAGTGACGTCATCAACGAAAATCGAAGTAACGCCATCTCTCCGGCGAACAGGGTGAACTACACGGTTTTGAAACTGTAGTTTCATTAATTCTCCACACTGACACAGGACGGCGCCACGTGTCTTTTCCGTTAAATTCAATTAATATAGTTGATTTTATTAGTATAATTAATTATAGTACAGCTTTCTTTATAATATACAATTATTGTTGCTCGTAGGTTTGTGTACAAAAATAATTTTCTAACGCATTTCTTGTCTTTATTCCATCAGTATTATTCGCAAATACTTTAAAAAATTACTTTTTTATTGATTTTGTGAAAAAGTCTTCGATCTTTGGAGAATTTGCAGTTTGTAATTAAAATTCCATTTTCTCGTCTGTAAAATAAGTAAAACGGAACGTACTTTAAAATATCCATACTTCAAACATAAAAAAAACTTATCAAGCACTTACCGCTTTCTTTAATTTTTTGTCCCTTTCGTTCTTTTTCTAAACCCCACAAAAACTCTTGAAAGACGCGGAGTGATTTATTGATACTAGTCTTCTTGTAATCTTTTATTCTTTTCGCGCTTAATTCGTACGTTTCCTGTTCTACCTTTTCTTTCTGATCGAACTCGTTTATTTCTTCGATCACTGTCGTGATAGTTGGAACCTGATCTAATTGAAATTTATCCACTGCACTTGGTGCAAATGGTACGCAAATTTTGCCGGTTTTCGGATGAACGCAGAAAGGAGACTTTAAGAGATGGTTCATTCCTTTGGTAACATTTATATCTAATCTGGGATACGCGTACTGTAGCATTACTTCTTCTACAAGATGTCGATACTGTTTCCATTTTTTATCACCCTGAGGTATACAAATTTTGTTAAAAAAACATCTTCGATGATCTGCTCTGATTGTACAAAAATTAAATGGTACCTGATTTTTATTTCTAACGTGTTTAACAAACGCGTTCCACCTATCTTTGCTAGAATTGTATTGACCGAACAATGCTTTCGCTTCTTGTCTATCCTCTTCTGGAAATACATTCAAGAATTTTTCCACTCCTTCGTTTGTACCAAGTATATTTTGCTCTTCTATGCATACTGGCACAAAAACTGCTTCTATGTGATCCAGTGCACGCCTGCAGTCATGAAATCCTTTTGTCTTATGCGATAAAAACCAAAGGTCTAATTAACTTTGTTCCAAAAACATTCAAAACCTTACCTGATAGATGTATGTATTTTATCACCAGACAAATTGACTTTCTTCTTCATGTATTCTCCACCATCTAAAATTTGCAAGTACTCTGCTACTGCTCCACGCTCATATGAACCTAAGCTACGTGCAGAAGGATCACATACCCAACAATGTAAACCTCTTCTACCAGAGAAAACCCATAAAATATGGTTGTATCCAAAATCCACTGGAATTGAAACATTAATTGAGAAAACTAATTCAATGAAAAATTAATATTTCTATATCATATTTGATCAGATATTATATATATGCATACATCTTAATGAGCTGTCCAAAATTTTACAGGCAAGCACCATGAATTTCCAACATTTAGAACAGATATCAGCCCCACTGCAGCACGTCCTTACTTCATCATAGTCTGTCATGTCAATATCAAATACCAATTCTCTCTCAACAGGTTGAAAATTTGTGCCTTTACGCTGATTCTTTGGACTGGTAACATATAAACATTGTAAAACGGTATAACAGTAGTACAATTAACATGTTATACATACCACAAATTGTATACAGCTCCTATATCTATTTTAAATGGAACAAGCCTTTTCATTTCACACTCCAATTGACTCAAATTTCTATACGCTTGAAAACGAAGGTAAATGTCATCTTGCAGGGTAAAAGAAAATTCTCTGCGATTAAATAAATCCGCTAAAACGACATAATCACGTTACTAATGTATTAATAATGCTTGAAAAGTCTATTAAACACGACTTACCGCTCCCATAGCTAAGCCAACGATAATAATCATTGAAAGGAAATAATCTCGCGTAATAGGTCGGTAGTAAATCGGCCAAATTTTCCAAATCTCCCATTTTTTTTCTTAACTTGTCGACAATTCAACAAATATAAATACCTTTGCGATACGTACAATGTACTGTCATTATTCAAAACAAAGTGTTATGGATAGATTGTGGCGGGAAAATAAATATATCGTGGAATGCAGTTGGCTAGGGTCATAGGGAATTTCTGTTTCTTACGCGAAACACTGGAAGAACGATCATGGACTATGTAAAAAGGCGCCAAGTTTGAATTATTTTTCATTTTTCAAAGTATATAACTTTCTTTAAAAGCAATGGTCTCTGTCTGTTTTTGAAACAGGGACGAAAAAATACAAGAATAATATTCAAGTTGTAACTTTTATTCCCTAATGTCGTTACACGTATAGTGAATGAAATTTAGAGTGCAATACCTTCAACCCTTTTACATAGGTGCAAAAATAGAATCGATCTATTTTTGAATAAACATTACTGGAACAGGAATGTATCGTTGAACTTATCTAAATAAAAATCGTCGATATTCCGACATTCGCATCTACGTGCACTTTACGATTCCCTTTTGGAAGAACGACAATGTTTCGAAGTGCGCAAAATTTGACCATTTCGTAGAAGAAAAAGAAATTTAGCTCGAGTGTTCGTTCGTCTCTGTGCGCGTTTGTCTTCTTCCTCAAGTTTCGTCGAGAAAAAAATAATTATAATACGATTAACATAAGTACAAACTATTAAACAACGAATGAAATGTTTTCTCATTGCATACGATTGTTTTCGTGTGTTTATTTACAATTCGATGAATAGACGCGTACGAACATGCATCGTTTGTTGTATATAAAGTAAAAATAGATTCGACATTCGCTTAACTTAACTTAAATGTACGAAAAATGAAGGATGGGGCGAGGAATATGTATCGAGTTTGAAGAAAACGTTATTATATGACTAACATATGATACAGTCTTCGGATCTGGTGTCGACAACACGCAGTAATCACTTAAATACGTTTTACGGTTGAACGTGGTCATAGTAAAATGGGTTCACTTTCGTTGGATCGCTCGCAAACATTTCGCGTGATATGATCCTAAATTAATTATACTCTGCGATAGCCCAGCCCCCCCAAAAAGTATACGACGAAATTGATTCGTTTACTAATGGAATCTATCACGTATCGAAGGATGGAAACGCGCACTCGGGTGCAACGCGGACTTCCATCGACTAAGAATAATCGTGGGAGGAGATTTTAGCCTTTACAATTTCGGAGAACTACTAAAACGAAATCCTAGGGAGAGGACCTAAAGCGAACTCAGAGGGAACCCACGGAGATTCCAGGCAAATCCAAAAGAAATCTAGGGAGAGCCTATGTTTTCTTCGACTAACAAAGAAGTCTACATTGCACTTCCGTGTATACTACACATTTCTTCGCGTGTACTTATGAACAGATTTCATCAACGAGTTACTGGCGATCTGTATACTATACTTTTGTAAATAGCTTCTCTCGTGTATAATAGTACAGAATTATAAATTGTATCTCGTTAAATTAAAGCTACGATATATTTTTAATACATATACATATATATATGTATGTATATATATATATATAACTCTCTCTGTGTCATTTTGACGATTCGTATCGTGACTATTTACAAGTATCTCTTACCATCGCCAACAGCAATAATAACTGTAAAACTCTCGTAATAAATTCTCCTTATAAATAGATAAATGTTAAATGTCGCTTAATCGATAAAAACATTTTGAAAAATGATCTAAGAATAATTGATCTAAAGGGTGACGATGCATGTGACTAATGGACGAAAAAGTTGGTGAAAAAACAAACTCGCAATACGATTTATCGACGAATACGAGTCTTAACGAGGAACGCGTGAAGATGAACTTTTTTCTACAAAAGAAAAAACAAATTAACTCTTAAACTTATAAATTGTTGAATAAAAGTGTTCAACCTCATCGGTGTCGGAGCATGCTCGGTAACTATTACGAGACATTAGCTCAACGGATTCTCGGTAAACCGGATAAAACGTTCGTGCGAAAGATCAGTTTGAAAATACACAAACTCTCTTTTCGAAGAAGTTTACTTTCACCAACGATTAACTCTTTGCGATTTCTTGCTAAATCTTTCATAACGAACGAAAGATACGCTGCTCAAAACAGTGGATAATAATATTCTAATTATTCGAGATATTTATACTCGCTACGCTGGACAGTGCAATTACTGTATTTTAATATACCAGATACTTTTCCATCTTTCTCGGCTGTTTTGAAAGGAACATCCTTAAAAATCTTATTAAATCTCGCAAAGGGTTATAAAAATTATATAGAAAGATCGTGACAATGATTTCCAACGAAATCGTGGGATGATCATTGACCTATTGTTCCTGAGGGAACTTTAGGAGAACCGTTCTCGTGCCCTCGGAATCGGAAATGTTGATCTTAAGCTCGTTCGTTAACGCTCCGAGCTTGTCGACCACCTTCGTGTTCTGTCCGCCTGGATTAGGTGGTGGCCAAACGTCATCCAATGGCGGTTCAATGTACTTCCTAGCTGCTTTCGACGCAGGTACATCCTGCCGTCCACGAAGCGTTCCGCCAACGTGATCCGAAGACGAGACGCACTTTGGCGCCGGTTCCGTGTCCATGCGAGGACGTTTGTAGAGGGGTGGCTGAATCGCTGGACTGTAATCATGATCCAGGAGACCCTCAACCTCCTGCAGCAACTCCTCGCTGTATTGCTGCAGCTCCTCGTCCATCAGCTGTTTCGTGTAGAGCAGTGTTCGGGAACGCCCTGTAATTAATATTTGTTTACGTTAGTTAATTATCCAAATATCATTTAATCGTTCGCGTATAAAGGATTCACGTCGATTCGAGACTGTTGCAAATTTCAACATCGCAATATCGGTACGAAAGTTGATGAAACAGAGTTATCGTGTTTGTACATTTGTCGTTATCGCCCCTGTAGACTAATTATCTAAGCTTAGCGTCGATGATGGCTGCATCTACAATTCGATCGGGTCGGTGCGATCGTTTCGTAACCATAAGGAGAAACTGGTTATGAGGCTTTCCACGTACGAACGGCCCTACGATATTGGTGTTCGAATTTTAACGAAGGTCAATGACACCGTAAAGTTTTGACCGCACCTTTCCCGATTTGGACTCGCTACGCTAATGACGAGCAATGAATGAAAGTTACGTAAAATACGTTACTCGTTTGAAAGTGGAAAATCACATGACGCAATACGCATTTGTCGAAAATAGCTAAAAATAAAGATTACAACGCGATGAAAAAGGATCGTCCAGTAAGGAGCGTTGAGAAAGGATCCAAGCTTTCTTGTTCTCGTTTTAGAAAGTAGCTGAACAACTTCGACCATAGCCTGCTCCGGTTTCACCATACCGGTGTTAATATCGACCCCATACCTTTTGATTTCGAAATGTCATACGTATCTTCTCTATAGAGATCAATCACGTATTTTTGATAAAGCATCTACCAGATAGGAGATACTTCTCGGTTTCGATAATTCGATTCGACGCTATACATTTCGAAAGCAATTTCGAATTCGATATTCGTATTACTCGAACGATGACTTAGGAATAAAAAATGCGAAACGAATTTATTTCGCAATCTGAGAAATATCGCTGATACCGTATCGTTTTTCGCCAATTATTTGTAACTCGAGTCCCACGCAAGCAATCAATGGAATTCGGTATCCAATCGTTCGACAGTGCAGTAAAATTAATCGTTAACCGTAAAAAGATGAGACTTTTTTCAAGAAGATACCAAAATTGATCGGCGCAACGATTACACGTGAAATTCGGCCAGTGCGAATTAATTTTATCCAAGGTTACTCAGTCGCAACTGGAGATAACAATACGCATCGATACGCGTGTTATATTATCGACGATGATGCGTCTTCCATTCGTCTCGTTAAGTCGAAGAAGTTGCACGAATACAAATTATATTCGATAATGAACGCAGCTCTTATGAAACGATAGTAACTTCGAAATATCGAGCTCAAAGTCCTTGAAAATGAAACTCATGTTTGATGGACTTTTAGTCGTTCGAATATCCGTCGAAACGATGTTATTTTTACTTTCGATTTGTATGGTAATATTGCCTACGAACCTCCCTCACCGCGGTCGAAGTTACATTATACGAACCGATGGTAGTATGCGAAGAAATAAAAAAGTCGGATCTTCGTTTCATTTTTCAGGCAGGTAAATACTCGATGAACCGTGCGAGGCCTGAAATGCAACAAGGTGCAGCGAGAAAAAAGAAGAAGCACGTCCAACACGACCGTGCCTTTCACGACCCTATGGGCACGGGGTTCAATGTTCCAGGCCAATGCGGTGCTATCATACCCATTGGACCCGTGTAACCGCTAATGTAACGGTTCGAAAAGCTTCGATCGTGGTGGAATTGCTTGGAACGTTATATCTTTTCGATCGCGGCTATTCCCTTTTTACAAAGTTTCAAATCAAAATCAACGCGATTAAGTTAACCGATCGATTAGATAACATTTTATTTCGTGGGCGGGCATGCGACAAGTACCTGATAAGTACCTGATATCAATTTCTACGGCTTAGAAATAAACTGGAAGTGTTACATAAACGCACCGTAGTTGCATTATCTAATAATAATCGTTTTACAAAAACGATTTAAAACGGAGCATGTACAAATCGGTAACGAAACGATTATCATTTTAAATGATTAAATAATCTAGATCTATTACTAGAAACTCTAATAACGTGTCAAGCTTTCGATGAAACATGAGTCATTGTTTTGTACAGAATGCTTTGTTCATTTTTATTCGCACAGAAATTTGACGCATTCGAGTCTAACGTAACTCGTAGTGACTGACAATTTTCAATATTTAACCAGGGACATAGCTAAGAGGATATAGGAGTCCAACTATGTAAAAGTCTGCAAAGGGATACACACGTCTGGACGCACGTGTTTCGATTGTGTGGTATAGACCGCATAGGATATTTACAGTGGCGAAAAATAAAATCAATCAACTCACCCGCTAACGGTGGCATTTTTTCAGGTTGTTCCTGTTCTTGCGAGAGTTCGTTGCTGGTATTGGAGTGCGGTCGCAGATTCGGTACGGCAACGAGAGCCAAAGAGAGCAGCAAAACCATGAGACAAGTGGCTGGTTGGGCACTCTTGTTGCCCTTTTGCAAAAGAGCCTGAAGTCGTTTCAGTTGGCCGGCCAGACTCTGATTCTGCAATTGAAGCGCCTTGATGCGTTTCAACAACGTCATGTTCTCCTCGGTGCATTGCTTCACGCGATCCTCCAGCCCGTCCACGTACTCCTTTTTCCTCTTCCGTGAATCCTGGGCGGATATTTTGTTGCGTATCTTGCGCCTGATCCTCTTCAACTCGCGTTCCTCGTACTTTGTCAGTGGATAATGAGTGGGCAACGTGATTCCTTCCTTTTGGAGCAATCGTTTCTCTTCTGCGTTCAGTTTTAACCTCGGATACGGAGAATCCGTTTCTGAAATCTCGTCGCTCGAATTGCATCCCTTTTCGCTGCTGGAATCTTCTTGTTTGATAGTCATCTGCGCGACGAACGGAAACGAGGACATTATGCAAGCGCGTTCAATGTTTTATTCGAAGGAAAATCGCGTTGACCCTCGCGCGAATACCAAGAATCCTATTTCGTTTTTAACACCGTACAGAATCCCCCGATCTTTCGATACTTTTACGTCGACTTACGTTAGTTAAAATACAAATGTTTAACGTTGAAGCGCGAACTCGGTTTCTTACGCAACGTTAACACGCGAATTCGTGATTTCGGCATCGCATTTTTGATTCGAAAGATTAGCACTACGCGATTAGCGAGGGAATTTGATAAGATCTACCTGAACTGGTTTGTTAACGATGTTCGCCTGGTTGATCTTGAATCCCTTCAGGTTTCTCGCTTGCGACGCGTTGATGATTTTGATAGTTCGCACTTCCTTCATGTCTTTTAGAGTTACTGGCAATAGGATGGATCTTGGATTCCCTGACCCCATCGGCGTAACACGAATCAACTGTCTGATATTTCGTTTTCCATTGCACGCGATGTTACGAACATTTACCGTGTTGCTTTCCTGCGATGCAACGTGGATTTGTTGTTTCGGTGTTTTGTCTAGAAATCGAAAGATTTTTATATTTAAGAATCCTAACTCTAGAATCTAGAAGCTTCTTATTATTTTTGAAATATTATCAATGTTTTCGATATATCGTTTCGATAAATTAATTCAATTCGAACAAGTGTTATCACCTTGTTCGGTTTCAATTGGCGATAAACAACGGCAACATGTGTTCGAATAACTTAATTTTGTTTTACAAAGAAAGACGTTTCATCATGCTAGAACGAACAATAACCGCGACACGTTTGTGACACACATTCCTTTAGATCTGCTTCGCTCGTTCTGTCTTTACTCTTTACCATTTCGGATCTGCGAGAGGAATTCGACGACGCCAAGTTTCCTAGGTGTGACCGACTAACGAGCAACCACGCATTCGACGAGTCGATTTAGACGATAAGATGCTTTAGAATGCTCGAAATTATTCTGCTTAACCCGTTATAATTTTTAGTATTCTAAGATCTGAGAGTATCCACGATATTATAGTGTTTTATAAAAAATAAAGACTGTTACGTTCTGGAACTCTATTACGTAACGTTAAAATTAACGAGAGATAAGTATTGGGGGCAGCGCGAATCAAACCTTGACCTTCCTGACTATCTGTTTCGAATACGTTGTATCAAATCGTACCTATATCGGCAACCGGTTGCTCCGTCACGACTAAACTTCCATCCGTGAATGTGTTGTTCGGATTCACTACTGCTACGAGAGTGTGTTCGACGTCCATCTCTTCGGCAACTTCGGCACAACCCGGTGAACCTATGTTGGATCCGACGATCGATCTCACAGGACTATCGACGCTGATCATCGATTGATTAGAACTGCCCAACGGATCGAAGTCCATGACATCCTGAGGACTGCTGCTCTCGGAGTTGCTCATCTCTATCTGATCCTCCTCGATCGGCAAAAGAGGACTCAGTTGTTGTTCGCAGGATAAACTGAGAGCACTGGAGAGTCCACTGTCGGAAGAGGAGGACGGAATCGTGTCTAAATCATTCTCGATTAAATCGAATTGATTGTCCTCTAATTTGAAGATCGACTCGAGGAAGTCGTCCGTGTTCGTCGGCCATTCTTCCGCCTTGAAAAAACAAACACGAAACGAGAATACGGTTAGTTTCCTTTGCGTTAATTTAGAATTTAATTTTAGAAACGCGATTGCAGAGGTGCGCGTAGAAAATGAAAAGTAGTTAAAATTTGTTCGAAATAAAGCAGACTTTTACTTGACTCTACGGTAACTGGTGGATTCACCGTGCTCTTTGGCGCGTGTTTCGCGCATGGTCTCTCATTTAGATCAGATTATTGACCCGGTAGATCCATGCTATATTTTTGCATCGAGCAGAACAGCTAGAACGGCTCGATCTGTACGTTCCAAATAGTGGGAATACCACTTTTTAATCAGCTTAGCGGAGCCAGAAAAATGCCCGTTTGCATTGTGCTTGTCATTCGGCTCGCGTGAATCAAGCGTTTAGCCAATGTCGGTAACCCAGTTTTTAAGCAGCGAGTAATCATAAATACGCTGAAGCGTTCACGGAAAACAGTCGTTCAAATTTTCAAACTTTATAATTGTACTTGGCTCGTAAAGTCGATCAAAATTCTACGAGGAAACAACGTGTGACTTTAATTCAATTTTCTCCATACAGCGTAGAAGGACTAAAAATAAGTCTGAACTAACACAAACTGTATTTACACGACTTACTCCGAGGTTCTTGCCGGATCAAATTCTGTACATTTTCTTATCGTTCAAAATTCGTGCATTCCTTACAAAATTTATCGTGAAATTTTCTCCCGACTTTTAATGGATTCGTTTATTCGTAGCCGCGAATATTTCTGATGCAAGATCGAAATAATGAAAACACAAAAGCACCTGTGTACATTCCGAGACAATTACGCACCATTGTTTCCGGTTAAAAACGAGGGGCCAATTTTTGAGACTATTTACGAAAAGTCCCGTAAGCTAACGGTACTTCCCGTTCGAAGGTCGCTCGCCACCATGAATAACTTCTCATTCTCTTTCTTATTCCATGCATAAAGATATTTACCCCCGCTAACGTATAACACCATAAATCAAGGATAAAGCTCTATTTACGGTAAACTTAGTCATAAGGAAAGAAAGTATTGCCTTAGAGACTTGTCTAATTGACTATGACTCATCGATTCATCGAGTTTAACGATTATCCATTGAACAAAAGATCCGGGTCGTTAATGTTTGTCTACGATTTGAAAATGAAGGATTAACGTGATCATCGTACAGGTAACTGTTCGAAAGCTCCAATATGGCGGTGCTTGCCGGCACGTGCACCGGACCATTCCATATGTTACAAACAATCCAACGCGATTACGTAATAACATAATGTTTTAATCTATTTTTCATCAATCAATGAAATATTCGAGCATCGTTAACCGTGTGATAATAATTTGACAGACGCGTCAAAGAAGTCGATGAATAAAATTGTTACGCAACAGAAATATGTCTGTATAAATTATTCAAACAAGAATAATTTGTTTTTGACGCGCTTGTGGTAATTACATCGCATTCTGATAATTATATATATATGACACTTAACGATAAATTGTGTCGGTACGATGATAAGGCATAACGATAGACGTGCGTACATCGGGCGGTAAAACGATCGTCGCAGCGACGATTTATGATTTACGAGACGTCCGACACGTGGGTTGCACACGCCATATGTTACTACGATTCAACGGCAAATGAACAGATAACGGTCCTTTTGTTTAATTCACCTTCGAATTATAGGGGCTACTGCAAACTATGCACGCTTTAATGCATGTTAACATAATTATTTACGAAGAATATTTGTTCGAGTATATCAGTTCATACAGAAACTCATCTCTTCGAATATGGATTAATCGTGACAACTATTTCACGAGGCTATCTAGCATAATCCTTCGTTTCACCGAGTATATTAGACGAATTAGCGCTTCGCGTTTCAAAAAATCGTACGAATACAGTTTGTTTCGTGGCTCGTTGAGCGTAATTGGATATAATTGTTAGCAACGAAAGCAAAGGATGCTTCGGTGGTGTTGATCGAACGGTGAATCGAAGATACGATGAAAGTGGCACGGATCGCGGTGAAACGTTACCGTAGTTTTTTCGCGTCTTCGAACCGTTCTCCCGTCGCTGAATGGAACGGAATCGCGTATATTTTTCTCCGTCAAATTTGCGAATAATCCGCATGAAATTCGAAAGTGGAACAACAGCATACAGTTACTTTACTCCGCTTTTTACTCCGATACAGTTAACTGTCGTCGGACGAAATTTTAATCGGTGAACGTCAACATTTGAGACACCGGTTTTCCCCGTGGTTTCCAACGCGAGAAGAGTTCACCGAACCCTACGAATCATTTTCTTTCGACATTCCAAATAACCAAAACTTTCGATTCTTTTCGTTGGTCGGAATTTTTCCTGCTTCACTACGTACGCGTTATATAAAGACGGATCTATTTCAGCGCCAATTTCCAAGAACTTTGAAATCAGCGAGTACAAGCATCTCGCTGTATGTGCTTGTTTTTCCCTAAGCAGTGATTATCGATACGCGATCTTGCGTCGAGAAAAAGTCAGTCCATAGTGCACGCACTTATCAAGACCTTGTTATCGCGGCAGGAACGTACTTGAAAATGGGCGTGTACGTTAAAAAGAAAAAATAAGGAAAAATTGAAAAACGAAGACGAGACAAGCGTGCTGCAAAGACTTACCGCGATGGCGTCATCGTTATAGGCTTGATCTATGAAAGGCTCGTCTTTGATATCGCCTTTCAAGAATGCATCCTCCCGCGGGAACAGGAAATCCATCAGATTCATATCCGACGACATCTCGATCCTCGTCGGTCAACGCAATCACTGTCTGTTTGCCTGTCGTGTACACGCGTGTATGTGTGCGCGCGCGCGTGTGCGTGTATATGCACCGCGTTATGTTTCCATCAAAAACACTACACTGCACCGACGTTGCACCTCGACGCGATACGACACACCAGCCGACTAACCGGACTAACGGAGCGAAAGAACTCGTCACGGACAGACAGACGGACGTTTAGCCTGTTCGCCCCACCCTAAAGATTTTACTGCATCGAGTGAGGAAGGAAGAACACCGAAAGAACGAGAGAGACCGGTGTTCAGAGTCTGCCTGCTCTTCGTTCCAACATTTTTCTAGCGTGCCACTTTGGACCCGTTCACTTGGGTCGTACGTTCAACGGCGAGAAACTCGATACGAAACGCGTTCACCAGCACCTCGGACAACCGCTTGTTGTTGTTTTTTATGCGAGGATGCCCAAGACGCGATCTTCGAATCCCGCAATTGTCAATTGAACTGCCAGCGTGGCAGTAAGTGCGTCACGGAGGCGCACCACTTGCGGCGAAATGATTGGACGAGCCGACCAGTGGATAGCGATAGGTCGATTTCTCGAGACCCGCGACGCGGCGTCAGGGTTGAATCGCTTTTTCGAACATGATGAAATCGTTGATGCTTATTAAACGAAATTTTTATTCGCGTACTATGATTTATGCGTTAGGTTAGGCTTTAAAGATTTCGAGTAGAAACGAAAGTTGATAGATATTTTGTAAGAGATATCAAAGAGATAAAACGATTGAAATAAAGCGCGCAGATTGCATGCGTCGTTAAAATTCAAGTTATAGTTTCTGGCCTTGGTATTACATCAGACTAATCGATTTAAACTCTTGAAAAGTGCATCATCCTTTTCGCATGCCTCGCTGACTCATAGGTTAGAATTGGACGACATTTTATAAGCATCTTTTATAGATAATTGCGCTTCTCTTTACATCAAGATGCACGTGAAACATGAAATTGAGTTTTGTAAACAATATATAAACAGGTGTTCCTTTATTTGTCGATCGTTTACAGCATAACATTTGAATCGAAGTTTAAGTTGGAATGCACGGCCCCCTAATCCGAGTCATAAAAAGGATTAGGTCATAAACCTTCCTCCCTTTGAGCACAGTCAGGTTTGGAATGGAATCGTTATTATTCTTTCATGAGCCTTTCTGTAATGTATCAGATACGGTAAAAACTTTTCGCGTTATTGGAGGGTAAATACACGTACATGAATGTAATGGTAATAAAACAGTCCAATTCCCACGAGTAGTCCAATAAAAGTTAAAAAGCTCCATCCTCTCCAAGCGTAGAATGAAACTCCAGTTGCTAAGCTTCTTCTCGTACAGACACCCATCTTTTCATTGATAAAACTGTTTCAAATAGAGCGTAACGTAAATTTTCGTTTTGTTACAAATACATTTATTTTTAACCTTTGAACGTTTGGAATTATAGTTGGAGGTGGTTGTTCATGATAAATGATAGTAATTGACATGTGAATTTCAATAGATTTTAACAGAAAAAGGTTTTGATTAAAACATGTTTCATAATAATTTTGTTAGAAGTTTTGTCGAGATGTACTTTGGTTATTTGTAGATGAACATTTGTAATTTAACTATTGCAAACGATACGTAAAACGATACAAGTATCGATTATTCGTTTGACGCTTGCCGGCACGTATCGCGGCTTGTTTGAAATATTTTCAAATCAGTCACACCATGGCGCTGATCATGGCCGCTGTGAAAAGGTTGCAAGCTCGAGCTGTACCAAAAATATGCAAATTATAGTAATTTATTAAATAATTATATTTCTCTGAAATGAGGTAGGCAAAATGATTGCTTAAACTGAAAGGCTAACAATTTTTCTTGGCTCTCTCTTCTTAAGTGAGCACAATTCCTTGTATTCTTGAAGTATTTGTGAGGTTATATACTGTGTTAAAGTCATATTGTATACAATTAATTTATTTGTTGAGAAGCAATTTTTATAGTCTTTTACACGAGTTATTGTTTCACAAAAATGTTGAATGTTGCTATGTTTTGCAGACTTTACTTAAGTAGAAGAAATTATGTGTAATCTCCTGACATCGGCTATGGAGACTAAAGTTACTAGTAAAACCAGCAGTTTAAAAGCTCTTTTGTTAAGGGCATGGAGAGAACGTTGGAGTGATCTACAATGGGGTATTAATATTAAAACGGTGAGTAATGATTTTACTATAGAAATATTTCTTGAACAACTGTCAATGACATTTCTATCATTTTCTTTCAGATTTTACCAAGAGGTGTTAGCGGAGATGTATATAATTTAGCAGACTGTATATTGCAGCAGGCATTGGTAGGACTTGGTCCAAATCAGTTAGTACTATCATATTTGAAACATTCTCTAAGTTCTCAGGTACGCATAGCTTGTAAATTAATTTCCAGTATCTCTTATAGTATTCATGAGTATAAATATATTTTTCAGTTGGTCTCCTATGCTGCTGTACTTCAAAGAATAAGTAAATACGATGCTTTTCACAAGCCACATTGTATTTTAAGTTTACTAGAATTTTTAGAATCTATTCAGATAGGAATAACGTGTCGTGGTAAACCCGAAGAAGATCTTTTGGCTGCAGCAGTGTTATCCATTGTGCATTGGTTGTTACAGTGTTACTTGCACGCTTTAACGAAAATGCCGCAGAATAGTCCGTTAACTCCGCAACCGACCGAATTGATGGACAAACCTGCCAGCATATTGAAACAGATGCTCAGTTCTGATTTTCTTTGCGCCATGATGTACTTAGCCAAATACGACGATAAGGATTTGTACGTAGAAGTCGTGAAAAAGTGTCAAGAAATCGAAACATTGTTAAAAACTAGTAGTTTAAAGTCTTCGGTACCGATAGAAGACTCTCTGAAGAAGCTGTGCAATTTGGAAATCGATTGCTTAACTCTGTCTCCTGAAATGACGCAAATGGAATCTATAACACACTGCCTGCAACCTTTATTCGCGGTTCAAGTGTTGCTGAATCCTAGCACGGAAACGGCTGTGTTTGTTAATCAAATGTTAATGGTTCAAAGACTAAAAAATTACACGAACGCGAGATTGTACTGCGAAATCATTCGTGCCTGTTTGATGTGCCTGCATAACGTTGCAGGAACGTTCAAAGAATCCCAGTGGGGTGCTTTCACGTTCCTGAAAGTACCTCTAATATTGAAAGAGCTGCATATGGCTCATTCAAACGGGGATGATAAATCGGAATATTCTCAGGACATTTTAGATGCGTTTGAATTTCTGCTTCAATTCACGCCTCTTCTTGATATAATGGATACGGCGTGTTCCTGCAATAGCGTAGAATGTTTACTAAATGCTTTACAAAAAGTTAGTTTAGTCACGGAAAAACAAGCGAAACAATTGAGCAGCAGAAGGGAGGGTGTCACAGCGAGTTTACAAAAGCTGGAGTCTTCTACGTCCACACCTTCCATTCCAAAAGTAATCGTTCGAGCGGAGCCAACATTATCCGGAATCTTGAAAACTTTGAACGCCGATTACACGAAAATACACGAAGCGTTGCTGAGCATGTTGTATCAAGTTCTGTCTGGAAAGAGCTTTGAGCTGATGTTGGCTGTGGCCACTGTAGAGGGAAAACTGAAAACCTTCGTTACAAAACTAATCAAATTCAATGAGTGTAGCAAACAAATAAATGAACCTGTTCAACCAAAGACTGCCGCGACAAGAGCAATGTTGTTCGATGTATCATTCCTCATGCTGTGTTCTATAGTGCAAACGTATGGATCTGATGCCGTGTTGGAAGAAGGGGGAGGAGACTCGTTTTTCGAGCAATGGGTGCGCGAATGCATGCCTGAACGGAACCAACCAAAGTCACCCCAAAAAATGTTACAGAACATTGACCCTGCAAGGGTGGATGCGTTACTGGCACAAATCAATTCTCCGGATCCTGATTTTAAATCTAGCAATATTAAATGGCACATCGCGTGTCAATCGGCGATGGGTGCCGTGAAAGAGCTTCTCTGCGCGTGGGAAAGCGATGTGCTTGGCGCTGGCGATGTTAAGAGAGCTTTAGACGGCCTACGTGCAACTGCCTGCTGTTTGCCCGTTTGTGCGGCTGCTTGGCTATGCGCGTATATGAGCATTACTCACCAAGATGCTCTTTTGAAACCCATGAACATGGTCCAACACTTTTTGACTCCTCTTCCTGGCGACGAAATGCAGGACAACCTCAAAGAGCGGTTGGTATTATGAAAGTTAGCGTTTTGGTCGGTATTGAGTTACGATTACTGTAATTACTTTTTAGATCCAGTTTGATGTCTCAAATCATTCGTAAAATGCAGTACGATGTACATCCTCCGACTCAGTCGAAAACGAAAGTACTTTCGATGTCGCATAGGTATTTCGTATAGCTCTGCAGAGTTCCATTGATTTATACTTTAGTTATTTAATGTTTCTTTTTCTGTTTATCGTTAGCATTATCTCGAGGCAACCAATACTGGAACAGTTAGAAACTGTATGGAAAAATATAAATCAACGGGGATGGATAAATATTCAGGCGACACAATCTTTAGAATCCTTATTAAACACTGGTGGCTCGTTATGGTTCGTGTCGAACATAGTGAAGGAGGTGTTGAAGTATCGTTATCAGGAAGAACTGGACCAAGCCGTAGACTTAGCGTTCGCTATTTTTCATCTCGACATCGAGAACTGTACATTAGATCTCATCAATCATATCATTCCACAATATTTATACAACTCATTGCAGTAAGTTTCATTCTTTTTAAATTTCTTTTAAATTATTTATCTATCAATATGATTTTAAATGTTCTTGTAGAAGCGAAGAATTAGTCGAACCACAGTCATCGGTATTAGCGAAGCTGTGCGTGTACTGTATATTTTCTACATTAGAATACAACAATTCGAACCCGTGTCGCGGAAACAATAGAAAACGAGTACGACGTGATTTGGATGCGGACGAGCTGGATGCTTTGGGCGTCCCAGCAAATAAAATTCTGAGGCTAAACGAAGCAGGCGACTCGAATCCTATATTTGGTTCCCAGAGTCCGCAATCTCAAGGATCAACCAATGGCCAGAAATCGGTGGTATTGAGGGATCCTCTTCTCTCTTCCTTGAACGGATTATTTACGATATTCACGTTTTTAGCTGGTAGGGACGGCGAGGTATCACAACAAACTCATTTTATACTTCAATTTTTACGTCTGATGGTACAATGTGGGAAAGACAGAACTCGCATTGTATTGCAAGGAATGCCACAAACATTGGTGAGCCATTATTTTTTCTATCGTGTGATGCTAGAAGAGTAAAATATTTTTATGATTGCGATTATGTTGTAGGTACCTTGTCTTCTCAAAGCACTGCCTGAATTGTTCACGACTGACATTTTATTAAGATTTTACGATATTCAGACAGCAGCTGGTAGGAAGGCAACGGCACGAGATTTGTGCATGCTACGAAATATCAATCTGAAACCTACTAAATAATTAGTAATGGCGCGTCAAAGACACGGGGCGCCTTTTTCTTTGGACGAACAATTCTTTTTATAGGAGGAAAACAGGTGTACACGATAGCGAGACATTCGATTGTATAATTATTTTAAAATATATGAATTTAATACGAACTCAATTTTAATGTTTTCTTCTTCGTTTCGACTGATTTATCGAGGAATATAAAGAACGAAACAGCCGAATTCAGAAAAGGTAATTACTTTACATAGTTTATTTCTCTTTCTCTCTCTCGCTCTCTCGCATTTTTTCTCTCTTTTCTTTCACTTTATAAACACTTTCTGACAAATCGCTATAAATAACGCTTACATTTAAAAATATGTACAGTAAATGATACAATAGAGTATTCTCGAAACGAGAATTTTTACACGGTATAAACAGGTCGAGAATAAACGATCGAAATTTTTCGACGCAAGAAACGTTTAATCGAACAATTTCATTCCCTCTTCGATCTTGGAAACGTCCCTTGCAAACGATCCCTAACGTTTTCACGTAATATTTACACGTATTACAATCATTCTTTCCGACTGAAATTACACAAGAACGAAGCATTTGATCTGAAATGAAAGCTGTGTGTATCAAGAGATCCAAAGTCCAGGGAATATCGATGCTCGTAGTTGTTCTCCAAACGAAATCATCCACGCCCATCGATGTTCCCTGCATTTAATTTCTATTGGAAGCACAAGTAGGCCTATCTGAAAACGCGTCTATAGCCACGGATGCCAAGACGGGTCCATTCTGCACAGGTTATCGTGACTGTTGGCCGCAGCAACGAGTGTACTAACTTTACTGTCGGTCCCATCGAAGTTGGCCAAAGAATTAAGTCTGCCAACGATCGCGTTCACCGCACGGGTAACCATCGTTATCAGAAGTTCGCCTTTCATGTCTGTCGGAGTTTGAGACGCATTCTCTGCATCTTCCTGTTTCTTGTTGTGATCCGCGATTACTTCGTCTCGTAAGATCGCACGGAGAATCGTATGTACTTTGAAGGACGGTTGCACCAGGCATCGTGCCGTGGCAATGGCACTGGCAGTCAATGGCCCAGAGACACCTGGTAAAGATAATTTTTTTTTAAATACCGAACTATATTTAGTCATCGTACAATTAATACCAATTATACGAACCTGTACTCGTGAGGAATTCAAGAATATTCGGAGTCAATCGGAACGGTACTGGTCTGTTGGCATCTAGCTCACCGGATGTGTCGTCAACGTCGAACTTGAAGTAAGCGATGTTGATGAGTCCCGAATCCTGATGCACGTACATCATATCAGGGTTTAATCTGGTCAGATGAAGTACATACTCCGCGAAGCAAGCCAAAGATAATTGCAGGGTAAACTGTTAAACAGTAATAAACGAAACAATTACTACATTGAACGAAAAGTAATTATACTTTGGTATATGGTTGCATGTAATTTTACCATTTTTCTAAAGGTCCAGTAATCAGTTGCACCTGGGAAAGTTTTCACCGCCCAATCTTTCAACATAGTCTTGGAAACCATCGTCGTTTGTACCTCTTTAAGTATGTCTCTTAATACCTGATGACTCGCTTGCGCTCCTCTCGCTTGCACCGTTGCTAGCCTATCGTAATATCTAGCGATAGGCGCGTCATGTTCTATACCTAATTTCGCGCAACCTTGCTTGTATATGTCCAACAGAGAAACGGAAGCTGGGTTATCCTCGACTAGCCTCATTTGCGGTGAAACCGCGACAACTCGAGGTACGGTAAAGTGCAAAAATCGTCTGGAAGTTTCTTTCTGTTTTGCCAAATAGTGATTCAACATTCGTAACAATTGTAGAACACGCTCTTCTCGTCTTGCATCACCGAGTCCGGCATCGTTCACGACCAAGTAAGGGTACAGACGACCATTGTGACCGCGAATACGTAACCTCCTGGCTGCGGTATTGTGTCGTTGAACAACTTCGACTCTTGGCATGAACCTGGCTATCCTGACGTAGTAGTGAGAATGTTTAGGTAATAGAAATTCGCCTGGAAGTTCCACCTCGGCAGTCTTTAGACTAAAATTGCTCAGGAATCGACACTTTTCCTCGATCAAGAAGGACCTGTCAAAAGTGTTTAATTCGTTACAAAAATTGAACATTAGATGTTATAAATTTTCCAAGAAACGATTCTTACTTTGGTAATTGCTTAGTCTTTCCCTCGAGAATCTTGATCCATTTTTTAAGTTTGCTGATCAGATTGTGAAGCAACCTTGCTCCAGGTACGGTGAAATCGAAATCGCTGGTGAATTGTCCTTTCATTTTCTGGAAGACGGGATCCTGAACGGTAGCTTGAGCCCTGCGCGCCAAGGATTCTGAAGCCGCTGAGCCAAACGTGTTGTTCACATTTTGAGACGAGGATATATTTTCTACGATTTAGAAAACTCGTCTTAATCGATTTCTCTTACTGAGTAAAGATTCGAACAGCCTTCTATTTGAACTTACCGATTCCTATGCCAAATGTCGACACCAGCTTCTTCACGAAGTTCAGTGTGTGCGGAGTTATGGTTGCTTCGCTCACTGCACCACGATTTTCAAAAGCTATCGCGTAACACTTGGCTAGGCCTTGTCTCAATTGCCTCAGGACTTCTTCGTACCAGGTTTCTCGGAACCACACCATCTACCAATATCGATACGATAACGTTTTACGTTGAACACAGATTACTGGAGAAAGAAAATAGCAACTTATACACACTAACCTGATCTACGATTCCCTCCAAGCTAGACAAAATAGTAGGATGAATGTCTCTTTGCATATGCATGATTTTCGAACATCTCCACATTGGCGGCGTAGCTCGAATTGGTCCCGTTTCAGGTACTCCTTGCTGCTGCACATTTCCAGCAGCACCACGGCCTTCCACGCCTTCTTGATTCTTTCCAGCAGCCAATTCCGCGCTCTTGTATCTCTCTCGTTGCTCGATCTTCAGCGTCAGATACAAAGTTCTGATAGAGAAGTAAACGGCTTGCGGGAACATTCTCCCAACTTGACTCAATAAATTCAGAATTACGTTGCCCTCGTGTCTGACCAAACACATCAACAGTTGAGGTATCCATGGTAGCCATTGAATGGGTGGAACACCCACGGCGTATTTATCAACAGCCTCCATCAAGGAAGATTTGTCGTCGTCGTAGGTGAGTAACCACAATACTTTCGCTAAATACTTTCTAGACTTGGACTCATTTTGATGTCTGCACGCGTGAAGGAAACAGGTTATCGCTGAGATTCCAATTGATATCTGACGAGCATCGCGAGTAAAGATGTGTTCCAAGTAATCGCCCCATAGTGCCCAAGCTTTTACCAGAGTGTCGTGTAGTTGAACAGCAGCTGAGAAGGCTTTATTGGCGTCATCGGATCGACCTATCTGCGACAACAGCATACCTTTCAACGCATAGAATTCGGCGGTCATTTCCTTGGTAAAGTATCGAAGGTTCGTGGACTCGATCACTTCCAGGCCTTCTTGCAATTCATTCTTGCCACTGACTGATGCCATTTGCAAGTAACACTTAACCTGCTGCCTGATCTTCTGGAAACAGTCCACTATAGGAACGCTGGGTATCGTGTAGATCCTAGACAAAGAATCCAAGCATACGCCGCAGAGATTATGCTTCCTGGCTATTTTACCAAAGTGTATGATCGCTTGGACGGACGCATGAACGCCAAGCATCGAATGATTAGTCGTTTGATCTTGCTGAGAATCGTAATGACTCGAAATGAAGGTATAATGATGTTGTCGCCAAGTGAAAATGTCCGACCAGTGACTCAAATCGTCGGCTATTACGGGCAACCGATTTCTCCAGGTTTTTACGATAGCTTTCATGTCGTGCAACGACGTACTTCTTCCATGCAATAGTCCTTGATGAATTTGCATCGCCTCTTGCAGTTCCATGATCTGCTGGGCAGCTTGAAGCAACGGTAAGTGTACGTGACTCACGATATGAGGTAATCTGCGCCATTCGCGCATACAGAGGCCGGATGCTAATTCCACGTATCGTTCAACCGCGTTCAAGTGTTGATCCTCGCTGTTGCATATCGCCAAGAAACCACGATACAAGTTCACCTGTGAAAATTTTGTATTTGAAAATGCAGAATATTGTACAAACTTGTTTAAACAATAAAACTGAATAAATATGTTTTACCTTCCAGGCCATTTCCTTTGGACAATTATGCTCTACCTGAGCGAGAGCTTCTTTCATCAATGTCCAATTGGGAATGCGCCAAGAACTTTCCAGAATCAAAAACGGATTCTTTTCTGCTTTTTTACTACCATAGTCCAGTAATAAGTCCCACTGGTTCAATTCCTTCGCGCACCTTATCCAATGTTGTTCCCAAAGCATAGCTTCGCGTTGTATCTTGAAAGGAGCCGGAGTGGACACGTAGTCTTGCTTAAACTTTGTCATCGCCACGTCGTAAGCTCCTTGTGCTTGTTCGAAAAATCCTTGCTGCTCGAGAGCGGTAGCTTGCAAAGTTTCCTTGTAATGAGCATGTTTCTGCCAGAGGCCGGACCACATGTCCTCCTCGCATAGCAAAGAGTACATGTCCGACAACGAGTCCAGAATTTCGGCATGAGGACTGTTGTCGGGCTCGAAATCGTAGCAATCGGACTCCCTTTTCACCTTGAACTGATTATTTCCATTGTCAAAAGCCATTTGCTCCAAACTCAAGGTCATTCTGTGCCAGAGATTATGAGATCTACCCAAGTACTTCATCAAGGCTGGCCGCATTGGCACCGGAGGATTACAATGAGATATCGCTTCGACGAACGTGGCGATCGCGCTTGGATGGCAATCTTTTTGAATGACATGCGTACCGCTACAGATAAACGGCACTACCTCCGCGATTAATGTATTGTGTTGATGTTCGTCCAGGATGCTCCAGATGCGTGGGAAAGTGTCCAGCCAAACGCGTTCAGCCAAGTTCGTGTCCATGTGGCAAAGTTGCGCCGCGGCCAATAGTAATTGTTCTGTTCTGATTTTCTTGGCGTAGTCTATGAATTCCCCTTGTTTCGCGATCAACTGCGTCAACGTGGCTTTTCCAGTGGTGATAATTTCTTCGGGTACAGTGGTCGAATCCACGTTGGACAAATCCATATCTAGAATTTCGTCTTTTACGTCGGTTGTTTCGGAAATATCCTGAGGTTCTTCCTTTACGGAGCTGTATATCATAAAGTTTTTGTGCTCTTCGCTGTCTGCCATATTTATCACGGACGTTACGCTCGGCAATAAGGTGTCCTGATTGGACATTTGTATTTGGGTGGTCGAGTTCGCGGTAACGAGGAGCAGCTCGATGCACTGTTTGATCCAATAGTGCGGACCGATCGCGTCCCAGCTTTGGCTGCAAATAATGTATAGAAGTCTATCGTGAAGACGTCTCCTCATCGATCCATCGAATACTTCAAAAAATTTCGCTCGTATTTGAGGCTGAACACACCTCAGACCTGAAAGAAATGCTGGCTCCAATTTCGAAGTTAATTCGGACGATTTTAAAGCTTCGTCTCTGTAGATGAAATTAACGAGTTCCAAAAATTGTCTGTTCAGTTCTAAATCATCGGGAAAACGTTTCTCGACGTACTGCATCATTTTAACTAGTAAGATAGATTTCTCTCTCAAACTAGGCGCTTGGTTCATCGCAATAGGATTCTTGTTCTTCATCCACTCTTCGAGCATCTTCGTGATCGCTTTCATCACTTTTATGTCTTGCGTTTTCTCGATCAGTCCAACCAAAATCGAGCCTATGAACGATTTTCTCATCTCCCCTCCCATTACTACCACTCGATTCTTTACAAGATCTAAACTCAGAATCAACAGCTCACTGCCAACCGGATTGGCCTCTGTTTGAGTAGAGTGCAAATGATCTTTGGCCATTCTGTGAAGAACCCTCATGAACGGAGTGATCAATCGATCGATGTAACTTTGATTGTTCGTGCAGGCAGCTTTCAGCATCATCAGCGTTCCGAACAACGAACTCGGAGAGGCTGTGGTATTCTTCTCGTACGTTGCCAATCCGTCGACTATAAATTTGCCAACGGTGGTGTACAAGGTATCCAGCTCCTCGTACTTGGAAGCCACAGTGGACGAAGTCGGTTCTGCTGGGAAAATGGTCATCAAACGAGACAGCAGTCCATGAACCAAACGAATAACTTTGGTATTACTGCTCGCGATGCAAGCTCCGATTCCGCGTTGTAAAGGTTTAAAGCCGGCTAGAATTTGTTCCCTCTTCATCACGCCAAGCAGGAACGTTAACACTTCCAAAGCCGTAGAAATGTTGCCGTAGTTCGGTTGAGCACTGTCCACGCTAGCCAACACTTTGTCTAACCACGCTAATTTAAGATCGCAGGATTGTGGCCAAACATCAGGTTTCAGAGCCATCTTCAACAGGGCTACGCATCTTCTGGACAACTGTTCTCCGGGATTACCATGAATTGTCGTAACGTCGTTCACCTGACAAGCTAATCGAAGCAGAAAATTTAGAATCGCATCGGCATGAGCACGTTCGATGGGTTTCGTGGAACCTGGTTCTATCCTGGGCATAATTACGGGAACTGTGGAGCTACCCGTGGCTCCTTGGGTAGTCATACGTTTGGGTCCCATTGGATCTTCGCTCATCGGTCGTTTTACGGATCCCATCGTTCCTTTGTTGCCACCGGATTCCGCGTTTTCGGCTTCGTCTTTGATTCTATGCAGCTCCCACTTGATGATCACTTCTGCCAATTCTACGGCTAATCGCCTGTGTTCTATCGTGGCGGTAGGACTGAATCCTAATCTTTGAATAGAGTTCACTATGTGTTGAACCAAGTGGTGCCTGACAGGATAGTACACTTTGTAATGCCTCACGACCAATTGTAGAATATGAAATAATTGTTGCATGGAATGTCCTTCCTCCACGATGATTTTCTTCGTCCAGTGCGTCAGCATCGTGTTACCGTCCTCCATTCTCACAGGCATGGCCGGAGTTAAGATCTCCAGTGCCTGTCTCACGACGTTTCTCGCATCCAACGCGTGTGCCTTCAGTAAACTGTGAAAAACTTGCAAAACTATCCTCTTATGAATAGCGAATTTAGCAATTATGTGACTGAGGAGCAAGTGACCGTGGTATCTAGTAGTTGGATCGACGCAGTTTTTGCCCAGAAGACAGGGCCAAGCGAAAGTCATCAGTCTACGTAATTTATTACCCTGTCTCTTGTTACTGACGTCGTGAATATGTTGAGACGCTTGCTCGACTAACAAACACGAAAATTGAAGCAAAGAGATGCGAACGCAGTCGGCCGAACCGAAAGGATTGTCAGGATCGATTATTTTGCTGATGAACACGGAGACAACGTTCTCTGGGTTGTCTTGATAAGGCATCGGTGCACCACCGACCAATTTCGTGCCTTCTCCTCTTTCGAAGCTCACGGCGAAACAGGGGATGATGATTAACTGCAATACGTTCGCTTTCAACTCTTGCGATAAATTGTTCGTAGGAAAGTGATCGACGAATCTAAAGAAGGCGCTTCGTTTCCATTCGACGGTATACTCTTGTGCTACGGTGTGCTCCAAGAAGTCTCGTAAGAACTGAAAATCAGGAATAAATCTGTCGCACGTAGCTCGTAATAATTGAAAAAGAAGATCGATATCGTTTGGATGATGACGGAAATAATGCAACAGGATCTTCACGATCAACTTCGGTTCCTTCCAATGACAATAATCTACGCTTTCGACTTTTTTGTGCAATGCCTGATATTCGTCGTTGCACCAAATCTGCTTCAGTGCACCTACCAACTGTGTCTGCGTCGATAACCATTGCTCGTCGAATTTGATCAGAATGGAAATGATCTTGATCGCTTGATGCTGAAGTTCGCTCTTCTCGTTGTGTGTCAAATTCGAGTTGGTCTGTGAATGCGCGAGCAACATCGTTATTAATCTCGCTGTACTATTGTGCAACACGTCACGAATCGGTTTCCCTTCTTTTTGTTTAATAAGGAATTCCAAATACCTACTCCACTGCTGATCTTTAATATTATTATCGTGCAGAAACAGATTCAGAGTTTCTGTGGGGTATCGTAACAAAAATTTCATCAAAGGAATGCGAAATGGACTGGATACTTCGACCATAAGTGATTTTTCTGTTTGCAAGACGAGTCTGCAAAGAACGTCGATGAATTTTGGAGTAGCTGCAGGAATTTCGTGAAATATCCCTATGATAGTAGCAATTTTCTGTTCATTTTCGCCGGATTTCGATATACCTTTGTGTGCTTGTATCAAATTTTCCAAAAGCTTCTTCAAATGCTGTAACAACTGCTCGCAAAGCGTAATACTGAAAGTACTAGGGAACAGTTGAGTCAAATACGACAGTCGTTTTACGCAGTTCAGACTCAAATTCCTATGATCGCCCAAAGTTAGGAGCATTGGTCGCATGATCGCGTGGACGGACTCCATATCGATTTGGTAGCCAGCGATGAACTTTTGCATGCATTCGAAAGCCGCTTCTTGTAATTCCGCGTTCGGTTTCTCCAAAGCTTTGTAGAGAACCCCAAAAATTTTTTCTCGACATGCCACGATGTAATGACAAGCGGCAAGCGCTCTCAACGCCGATTTTCTCAAAGGTATGAGATTCGAGACAGATTTGTAGCAAGGTAGTTTGTTGAGATTCGCATCTTCCGCCTCGCTGAGAGCCAACAATTCCTGAAAGAAAACTTTGTGCTCCATGACCGTCAAATCGATGGTGAAAAGACGAGGATTCAACGTGGTACAAAACGTATTTCCATCCATGAGACCGATTTGAGCGTTCGCCGGTTGATGTCTGAGCAAATGTTTCTTCGGAGGAATCATGTCAGCCAAAACTTCTTTGTGCGGTTCCATTACTTCCGTTACGGTTTTATTTTGTATCTCAGCGAGCAATCGCAACGAAGCCATAGCCTGTTCTCGTACCAAAGTGTGAGGGGAAGTAACCTGTCTCACAAGCTCGTGGGTTACCTCGTACAGACTTTTATTCTGCGCTTCTATCAGTTCAGTGTTTCCGTCTTGGATGCCAGGATTTACGCATACCCTCAGCATTTTCTCCAGGTTGGCCTTGGCCATGTCTATAGCACCGTTTGACACTTCCTCCGTTAAATCCATCATTACGAACATTAAAGCCTTGAGAAACACGAACAAGTGATTCAACACCCACTTGGTTGCCATTCGTTCGAAAAGAAACTTAATCGCTATACAACCACCGAGTTTCGCATACCAAGCACGCTCGTAACAGAGGGAACACATCTTTTCGGCTAGATATTCCATCAGAGGTAGTTGACAGGCTCGTTCTTTCGAACCTAAAATATTGGTTGCCGTCTCGAGAATTAAAACTAGAGCCAGATGACCAGATTTGTACAACTCTTTCTCTTCGTGGCCCATGATGACGGCCAGAGCATCGATCAACACCAGAGGATCTTGGCCCTGCATACGAATCTGTCTTCCGGTTAGACAAAATGGACCAGCTTGCTGCGCAATCGCGACCATAGTGTAGTGCCTTACGATCGACACGACTGTACCTAACACGGAATGTCTCAACTCCTTAATTTCTGCGGCTACGAATAATCCGGTGAGTGCCGTTTGCTGAACATTTCTCGCGACAGCGTCTGGACATTTATAATGGGGACCTTGCTGATGCGGAATTTTGCCTTCTTTGAAAGCAGGATGCATAAATAGTTTATAAAGAATCGCGTTGTTGTCGTCTAACCGAAGCGAAGCGGCTAAATAGCAGCTTATCACTTCCCAACATTGTCTACGATAAAACGAATCGGTGTTGTTCGATTTCAAAGCGTTGAAAGCGGTTTCGATAACCTTCTCGACAGGAAAATCGATGGGTTTCGTGGGTTCTTGAAAGTAGACTACGACAGCCGGCGAATTAGTCTCTCGGTCGTTGTATTCCAATTTTTGTGGCTCAATCATCATTTTCCGATTTCCACCGCCGAATTTTCCCAACACTCGGAAAGCTACGTGAGCCTGATCGGTCGGATTGTGTAGGGTTCTCCAAAGAGCTTGCATTAGATCGGCTCGTACCGGCTGTATGTGCTCGTACAGAAAATCAGGTTGAAGATTGTCCACGCACAGCTCCAAAGTGCGTAAGCCTTGACTCACTAAGCAATAACTTCCGTTCAACGCGGAAACCAAAGGATCCATCAGCATCGGAAGATAAGGCAGAAGAGAGCTAAGCCTTACCGGAACCGTTAAACATAACTCGACGAAAAGATCCTTCATGTGCTGCCTATGCAAACCAGATTGCAATCGGTTCAAGCCTTCCAACATGTTCGGCAGCAACGGTAAAAATTCCTGATACAAAAGGTCGTGAGAACCACCTCCGATAGATCTGAACAAAGCTCTTAATAAGAGGAAGTAATTATAAGGTTCTTTAGCCGACATGGCTAGTTCTATGGCTCGATTGACAATCTGATTCAAGTGCGGCCTCAACATATGTTCGTTATCGGCCGGGAAAAGTGACACGCTGCCGAATACGAGTTTGAATAATCTCAAATATAAATTACTTCTTTCCACGTTAGAACCCATGTCACCCATTCTCTCCAATAAGTACTCTACCAATATTGTAGCGAACGTGGACGATATCGTGGGGCTAGACAGAAAGGCACTTCCGATGATTTGCAACGCGCAATTTTTGAAGATTCTTTCGACCATGTAGTCGATCGAAGTCGAAAATATTTCCTGGAATGTCTGTGGATTCATCTGGGTGAATACGTTCCCGAATAGCTCCAGCACCTCCTTCTCTTCGCGTGTTCTTATAGTTTGAGACTGTGCTGGTCTACCCGGTTGAGGGATCGCTCCAATCGTTGGAGGACCTATCGTGTAAATGTCTAACGCCGGCAATGCCCATTTAACTAATTTAATGTAAACCAATGTTTCTTTCGATTGAAATTGATTGGACTGCGTGACCTCGCTGGTCTTGCTATTTATACAGTTCGCTGTAATAGCTTTAGCACCGTGCACCAGACTCTTCACCAAGTTTCTGTAGTCGGCCACGTTGTAACTCATAGCCTGAGAAGATGGAAACCCAAACTTTGATTTTCCTGTCTCCTTGTCATCGTTCAGGTCAGGGATAACTGGCTTGACGTCTTCGGTTTTGACGTCCAAACCAGGAGGCGTCATCTGCTTGGCCTTGTTCCGAAGAATCGGTATGTAGATCTTCGCGATTGTTTTGAACTTCAACACGAACACCAAAAGAATGCGCATCAACAGCTCCCTACCTTGGTTACTGTTCTCAGCATCGGATCTCTGTCTGACCGTGTCTACCAAGTTCATCAGAAGCTTACAGGATACCATTTGCACGGCTGTTGGAAGACTTTGATCCAGCAAATTCTTGCTGTACAGGTGTACCGCTCTAGAAACATCGCTCAACGGTAACAATAATCTGACATGATGAACCAAATCAGCGAGCGTGGAGTAGGCTAAAGGCCTGAGACTCTCGTGTGTTGTCCAACCGCGTCCAATGAAGATGTCTTCATCGAAAAAACACTCCATGTGCGGTATAAATTTGTTTCGAAGATCGGTCGCCAATATATGTCTCGAGGCGATCACCAATTCTTTCCGCAAATGTGCTACTTCCATCGGGCACAAAGTAAACAGTCCAAGAATACCTTTCACCAATAGCGAACTATGTTGGGATACCACGTCTTGATAAACCCTGATAACGTACGCTAAAAAGGATAGAGTCTTGATCTGAGCACCCATGAAATCGACGAAAACTTCCTTGTTAAAGCCAGGCGATGCACGATGTTGAGGACTCGGCTGCAGCGTTATCGTTGTTATAACGAGAGGAATGAAATCCGATACGTCTTGGTGCACGTTCTGTTTGTATAGTTGGTTCATAAGTACTACGATAATTGGTAACTCTTGAAGCACTTTCAAAGACAGTACTGCCTTTGGAATAAGATTATACTGGAACACAAATTGTCGTCGCTATCGTTATTTTCATATTTCCCTAGAATATTTGATGATATCGAGCGATACTCACCGTAACGACAGTGCCGTCTGCGGCTTTCTTCTCGCTTTGAATGGCCGTGATCGTGAAAGTTTCCTTTAGCAGCGCGTCTATATTAATTTCTGATAAATCTTTCACCCTTAACGGCGGCCTAGGTTCAAATATTTTTGGCAAGTTCTTTGGTAACTCACTGTACACCGATTTAACGAATTGCAAAAAATACTGTATCTATAAGTGCGATACAATCGAATTAATATCCCGCTACAGACACATGTAAATACAATTAGAAAAAGATCCTTACTTCTGGATTAAAGGTTGGTTTGTACTGTTTGTGCAACTCGATGATGATTCTCAGACAGACCAGTACGTTCTCCTCGTTATCGGTTTCCAATAATTTCGACATCAAGCTTAAAATCTGTTTCACGTAAGGACGCAGGTAATCGTTACTAGGCAATCTGTGTATCATTTCTAAAATCAGCTTTCTAACTTGTTGAATGTTGTACTCCGAGATGAAGTGTGGTTCACCCTCTTGAAGTATCTTTAAAAAAATTTTCATCATGTGGTCAAGAAATGCCGGATATTGCGAGGAACACATGATGACCTACGTAACAAAGATCATTAAATAGTTTAGTAAGAGCAGAAACGAATGAATTAAATGCGTGACCGATCAGCGGATACCTCGAAATTCTCCGACAATTCTTGAGCTGCTTTCAGTTTCAATTCATCTTTCGAAACAGGATCTGCCAACATGGTCACGTACGATCTGTACGTGTTCATCTGCGTCACTGGGTCCGGTGGTGCCATTTTGATTGTTTAATCAAAATTTCCGCTTATGCTACGTCTGGTCCATTAGAAAACCTGCGTAAAATTGCAAAGAAAACATCACGTTAGTTTACTGGTGAAATTCGTGAAAGCAATTGTGCACAGAAAAATTAATTTCACTCGTCAGAATCACATAAAGAAACCTATATCGTTTTCTTGAAATCGATGAGATACCCTTTGACCTGAATAAACAATCCCTAGCAACCACGTAAATGCTCCTTCTTATAATCACCGTTTAAACCGAAGTACCAAAATAATTGCGCGTTTCATTAGCAATCATTTTTCCCTTAATATCTTCGCGAAGCTAATGGTTCAAATTTTTAAACGAAAGACAGAACGAGATCAACCAATTAAGTCGTATAGTTAGAAGGGGTGAAAGTTCGCGCAAAAATGGTAGTCACATATGAATATATATCCACACCCTATAAATGCTCACGAACTTCTGGACTCGATCTCAGTACCTCTGAAATGTTGCACGTGACCTGATGCAACTCAAATTCACCAGCGAAGAACTATTTTTAATAATCCGGAAAATAGATAAAAAGGAATAAAAATGGATGAAGCCGTGATCGATTCGATCTTCGCGGGATCTTTGAAGTCCCTCCCAGCTGTTAGCTCTAAAATCGTTCGAATATTCACAAGTTCCACTTTCACGGGTAAGTTTCCATTCTGAGTGTACATTTTAAAAAAATAATCATCCTTTTGATTCAGATACGGCGATGGAACGAAACACGTTAATGGCCCAATGTTACCCTAAGCTCAAAGATTATTGTAGGGAAAAACATGGATTAGAATTTCAGGTAATCAAAAAATGAATAGTTGTAAAATATATATATGTATGAGAAGGATATCTGTATCGTACAAGCACGATTAATCGACCTTGAAGAGAAAATTGATTTCCATCGTACCAGGTACCAAATCGTGGCACGAACGATAGTTTTCCGAACTTTCCTAAATTTCCTACTCGACGTAACAAATTACACCTGATGATATTCAATTAGGATTTCTACAAAATTATAATTACAGGTAGTTGATATGAGATGGGGTGTACGAGACGAAGCTACCGACGATCATATGACAACAGAATTGTGTATGAGAGAAATAGAAAATTGCCAAAGGCTCTCGATGGGCCCGAATTTCGTGGTACAAATCAAATTACAGCAGTACACCTTAGTACGATGACGAGAATACACAATATTTTTGTGAATTCATAGGTTTTCCTTGGGCAAAAGTATGGATATCGTCCTATACCGACCTACGTTCGAAGCTCTGAATTGGAAATGTTGCGAACGGAGCTGGAAAGTCAAGGAATGGATGTTAGTGTCTTAGACAAATGGTACAAGAAGGATAGCAATGCTGTACCAGCGACGAGTATCTTGCAACCTATATCGTCGATCTTGAAAAATTTTAATAACAAAGTAATCAAGTTCTCTTTTTACGCGATACGAAAAATTGCAACATTTGAACATTAAATTTTTATGGAACTTAGAGAATACCGAAGTTGCAACAAGAGGATCAGGCTAAATGGTGGGACACCATGGTAAAGATGCAAAAACTGTTTAGAAAAGGTGCACAGTCTTTGTACAATGCAGGAAAGTTTGACAAGGATACGATGCACAATTATTTTATGTCAGTCACCGAAAGGGAAGTAATCAATGGTATCTTGAACGTGAAAAACACCAAGAATCACTGTCTGGCATACATACGATACATAAACAACATAAATCTTCAAAATCTGAGAAAAGCTAGTTTGTTCTTGGACATCGTCAATAGAAGTTTGGACAACGAAGCTTCTAAACTACTGGCCAACTTGAGGGACGAAAGACTTCCGGATAAAATCGAAAGCACAAATTTACAAAGGTAATACTTATGTTACAGAAGCCAATTACACGATTAATTTTTCTATTATATCTTACTCAGATACACGGTGGAATGGATTGGTCGAGAAGGTTTAGATCCAGAAACGCACAGCGAGTACCTTCAACATTTTATTACACACTTCTATCGAAACATAGTAAAACTCGTGGATCGTGCAATGAGAAAAGAAGACAGTTCGGCACAGGGGCAGATCATAACAGAAATTTTGCAACATTTACACGCTTGTAATAATTCGGTGAAGGTGTTTTATGGACGAGAAGATACCTTGGAGAACATCAAAGAGTACATGTTGGGAGACAGCGATAAACCCCTGGTTTTGTACGGAGAAGGTGGGTGCGGAAAGACGTCTTTGTTAGCGAAAAGTGCAGGATTGACGAGCAGCGTATGGCTTACCGGTAAAAAGCCAATTAACATAATTCGATTCCTTGGCACTACACCTGACAGCAGCGCTTTGACACCCACTCTGATTTCCATTTGCCAACAGGTATTTTTTTTTTATTACAATGTTTTACATTACACTCTCGCCATGGAGATATTTTCTGTCGTAGATCTCCTACAACTTTATGCTACCCTTTGAAGAGATCCCTGATGATTTAGTACCACTGACAGCCTATTTCAAATATTTACTCACTCTAGCTACCTCCGAACAACCGATTCTATTATTCCTGGATAGTGTCGATCAGTTAACTGGAGTGCAAGGGAATAAGTTATCGTGGTTACCTACTAGACTTCCGACAAATTGCAAGGTACAGAGTATATTGAAGGCTTCCTTTACGCCTTAGCTTCTTCGTGGGTTCTCCCTCTGTTCTCCTTTAATTATATCTAAAGTTCGCCTTGCGAACTAAAGGAAGTCAAATTCCTTTTAGATGATCTTGTCTTGCGCAGCGGAGGAATCGAATCCCGTAATATCTCGAGATTATCAATTATTACGAAGGATGATCGATACCGAGGAAAACTTCATCGAGGTCGTTGCTTTGGGCGAAGACCTGGCTATGGAAGTGATACGGTAAATTTATTAACGAGAAAATAATACTATCGAACTAATCTGGAAAGTGATTGTTGCAGAATGTGGATGAAAACAGCTCATAGAGATCTGAACAATTATCAATGGCGCTTGGTGGCGAACGCTATATCGAAGTGTTCCCTGCCGATTTTCGTAAAGCTCGTATTCGCAGAAATCTGCAGGTGGAGGAGTTACACGAAGCCAGCGGATACTCATCTGACGTGTACCGTAATGGATAGCATCATGATGCTGTTCGAAAGGATCGAAAAGCAACACGGAAAGATTTTGGTGTTTCATGCGTTGGCCTACATAACCGCTGCTAAGTCGGGATTATCGGAATCCGAACTGGAAGATCTGATTTCGTTGGACGACAAGGTGTTGGACGACGTGTACCAGTATCACTTGCCACCGGTTAGACGAATCCCACCGTTGCTTTGGACCAGAATACGTAACGATTTGCCCAATTATCTTAGCGAAAGAGAAGCCGATGGCGTCAGTGTCCTTAATTGGTACCACAGACAATTTAGAGACACCGCCAAGGAGAGATACTTCAAGAACATGAACATGGCAATGTATTTCCACTCGATGATCGCCGATTACTACCTTGGCATTTGGGGAGGTGGACGTCCTAAGCCCTTTAAGTACACCGAGATTCAAAGACATCGGTAAATGATTGATCCTGACGTTAACAAGGAACTCTGAAAAATTTTCTCAGTACCGAATATTTGTAGATTTAATTTGGCGGACAAGGAAGGCGTGGCAGATAGAAAAGTACCCGAACAACCCCTGGCATTCTACTCGAAAGATGGCACGATTACCAGATATAATTTGAGAAAGGTAGACAGAGAAGTCTTTGTATCAGTTTCGATTTGATAAGCAATTTTTAATTTCAGTTTGGCGAATTACCCTTTCACTTGGTCAGATCGCGTCGTTTCAATGATCTCTTCGAAAACGTTTTGTTCAACTACGAATGGCTTCACGCCAAACTCAGTTCTTGTCCGCTGCAGGCAGTGCTATCAGATTTTGAAGACGCGTGCAATTTCATCGATAATCAGAGTATCGTCAGGTAATAATACCGTGACAAACAATCGTGACAGATTCTTATGAAGAAACATGATTGGTTGCAGAGAACTCATGCTAGTAGCCGACGCGCTCAGATTAGGCGGTGCAATCTTGGGTTCTCACCCGGACATGTTAGCACCTCAGCTGATCGGCCGATTGTTGCCAGAAATCGGGGGAAACGAGAACGTAAAAATGCTACTACGAGCGTGCGATAACGACGGCGCGAAAGATTCTGCTCTACTTCCTGTTTATCACTGTTTACATACTCCTGGTGGACCGCTTAAAGTAACTCGATAAACTTCCTCTATTAATCGAAATATCCTCTTAATCTGTGGATATCTTTCAGTATTCGCTGGAGGGACATCAATTCGCCGTATTTGGATTTTGTCTGACGTCCGATTACCGTTACGTGGTCTCGATATCCAACAGATTTATCACCTGGGATCTGAGCACCAGCGACATGACCAGGGATGTTAATCCTGGCGTAGAGGGAATTATGCAAAACTTGGTCCTGAGCCCTGATAACAGATACGCCGCTGCGTTTACGACCAATAATCAGGTGTTTAGAGATAGATCGGTACAGATTACCCTCGAAGCGCGAATTATGTTAACGCATTGAAATAGTCACTATTTCTTCGCGTTTAACGCAACAGAATTATTTCCAACGTTCAATAATTTCGAAAACAGAGCGTCGTGTTGAATACTCTGACCAGCGAGTTCGTCGTCCTCGATAATCCACTTCCAAACGAGGATCCAGTGTGCGGAGTTCACATGACGAATCAATTTTTCTTCGTCTATGGTAAATTAGGCTGGTGCAGATTCGACTTGCGAGGAAATTTATTGGAGACTCATACGAATCCTGAGGATTCGAATAAGTGGCCAATTTTATGTAAGTTATATTGTGAATATGAAAATGGTACGAGTAAATCTTTTTTTTAACCTGTATCTACCTTTAAAGGGGTGGAACATACGAATTTAGACGAGTACAGAATAGTGTTCTGGTCAGGGAACATAGAGGAAACCAATATGTTGTTGCACACTTACAGGAAAAAAGGACTTCTAGAGCCCTTACGTTTTCACAGGTAAGATATCGAATTAATCCATCGTCAACTAATTATGAGCATTCTCTTCACAAAAATTGTATAGCGCCTTGGTAATGACCAACGATAAGAAAGTTTTGTACGCGTGTACAAGTAACGACGATTATCGAGTCACGAAATACACCATCGACGATACCTCTTCCGAATGGGAAAAGGCTTTCGACATGCCTAGAGCTTTCAACGATCACGTCGAGTACCTGTTGCAACTGAAACTGGACAGGGAAGAGGAAATGCTGCTGGCTACGAGTGCGAATGGTTTCGTCGTTTGGTTTTTGGAAAGCAAAAGCGATGCGTATGTTTTGATGCTGCCAAACGGAGTCAGGAACATCAGTACTAAGATGATGTGCTCGAATTCTATAATGATCAGTGGCACTAAGAATTACGCTGTTGCTGGTGTTAGAAAAAATTTATACGTTTGGAGTCTCGAAACAAGGGAGCTGGTAAAGACACTGGATGCTCATTTCGCGAGAATAATTCAACTGGAAGCATTGACTGTAGGAAACTGGAATAGCGTGGTAACGTCCAGTATCGACAGAAGCGTTAAAGTATGGAATATAAATAACATATTCGAACAGGTTCACGTAATAGACAGACACGAGTTGCAGATAGACATGATAAGGTATCCAATATTTCGTTACATTACTCCTCGAACGTGATTCGATCGTAATTGCTATGATTTTCCATTTGTATTAATAGCCTGGCAGAAGAATGTAATTTAGCAGCAACGGTAACCAGAGATTGCGTAGGTATTTGGGACTTGCAAACAGGAAAGTTGATTTCCAAATTAGCCGACAGTCCTTTGGGGGCAATCGTAACGCATGCCTGCATAACGCACGATGGCAGGTCACTAATTATGTTAATAAATTTTTAATTTATAACTCTGACAAGCAGGTGGAATAACTTGTTTCTCGTTTTAGATACATCGTTTCGATAGAATCAGGTAATGTATTAATATGGAACCGGATTACGGAGCAGGTGTTATTCAAGGAGGAGCAACAACACGTGAAACAACTGACACTGATCGAAAATTCATCCAAGTTTATGGCTGTTTCAAGACCTAAGAATCCTGTTGGAGTAGAAAATATGAAAACAACTGCTACACTTTTTATGAGAACGATACCTGGTACATTAGTTATCAGCACAATGTTTCCGAATGATTTGATTACCGTAAATGTATCATAAATATCGATTAACAGATGGTACAACGACGTTCTCGGTGGAATATCCAGTCAGAAGTCAAACGAGTACTCCGTTTCGTAATATTGTAATTACTTCTGACAATTTGTATCTGATTGCACCAGCAGCTGATAAGGGCAACAGAGATTGCGTTATCATATATAATGCAAAAACAGGTGCATTAATAAATAAAATTCCCGTAAAAGTACCAGGATTTAAAGTAAGGACATTGCTCAAACATTGCATGGTGATGCTTCTATTATATATTAAATGTTTTATTAGGATATTTTGTGCATCACTCCAATGCCAAATAAACCACAATGGGTGGGGGTTATTGGATCTGATAAGGGCATTATTTTGGACATAAATAAGAAGAAAATTATCCGAACAATACCAAAATGGAGTGGAAACATCAGCAAAGATGGAAAATATACCTTATATGCACCTAGCAGGTAGATTTCAGTATGTGAAATAATTAGACAAAATGTTTACAGTTATGTTTATATAACAGGGGAGGTTTGGAACTTTTAGAGCTAAAGAAAGGTACCACGGTAAAGACCTACATTCCAAAGGTAGCAGAAGGTGTATTTACTGTAATATCAATGTTCAATCGTACAGATGAATATGTTCTATATTACCATAGTGGAAGAAAAACTATAAGAGTGTTCAGGTAAACATGTGTGAAATTAACGAACATAAAATATGTGAATTCCATACTTTTTTGCTTATAGATCATCAGACTGCAAGATGATAGCAAACTATAGGGTTCAGGCAGAACTTAGCGCGATAGACAGCACCTACGATGGTAAAAGTATTGTTTTAGGAACAGTAGATGGGTGCGTGTCTGTTTTAGTCATAGCAGATCCTAAAAAGGAGAAGATGAAAGAGTATATAGCAAACTTACCGTCCCGTGATGAAGATGTAAGTAAACAATTGCTTATAATACTCTGTTAGTAAACAAAATACAAATGATCCTAGATATTGTAGAAACGATACACAGGAGAACTATCTTATAATTCTTATGGAATTTAATCTATACTCTTTTTATAATCAAATCCTATGAACAAAATTTCGATTTGATTTGTCTAGCACAAATAGTTTGGACGTAATTCTGTCACTGATTTGTCAACTATCAAAATAGGTTAGGATAAACACTTGCCGCATTGTCGTATAAAAAATACATAAAAATTACTATCAAGCTTCATAAACCAACTATGATTAACGAGCAAATTTAGTAGAACTCAGCACATTTTACAACATATTTTTCATTATTGTTTTTGCCAAAATTTTAATCATAAGAATGTCCCGCTCAAACATGAAACTCGATGTAGTTTTTACGTCCAGGCCGGTACGATGTAAAACAAACAGTAAAAAATATCTTTTTCTCGGTAAGATCGATTAAAATTACCTTAGTTCGTTTGGCTAGAAAAAATAGAAAATTATACACACACCACGAGTACAGCCCAACAAACCAAAACGTTCACTCAAAACACTCAACCACGATATTCTTTCTTTCTTACTTTATCCTTTGGCCTAGGGAAACGAGAGCATCGAATTTAGTTAAGTTTCGTACCAACCGTTGCTAACAAGGAATACTGTCGCGATGCGTTTTATTTTACTAGATGCATCATGATTTCATTGGTCACTTATAATAAAACGTTGACCGTATAAATTTCTCATTTTTTATTCATAAAAATTAGATTTAACGATATTAATTTCATTTTGGTCTGTAAGTGATCGATTTGGAAATTACATTTATAGATTGTTGAAAGCTATAACGGGTTCAATGCATTACACATTATTGTAACTTCTAAATTTTGTTTAATAATATAAAAATTTATTCAGTATCTGTAATTGAGAATAAAAATTAAAATGATTTTATTACTTTTCCAGTGGAAAAGGAAAACTGAAAAACAACGAGCAACTATTAAATTCAAAGCTGCTGCTCGAATTGCTCGTGTAACGCACGAGTTGAATGCGATCATAAGGAATTCAAATGTTGCAGAAACAATCGAAGAAGTAGATGAAAATATTGAATAAAGATTATGGTTATTATGTAGAAAACCTTTTCCTGGTTAAAAGAATAATGTAGGTATAATAAATGTAAAATTGCAATGTTAGAATTTATATTACATTTATTTGTGTCTTTTAGTGTAATTAATTTTTATAATCTTTTTTTCTTTCTCTTACATTTTTTCTCCGCGTTCAAAAAGTAAAGGGCACGAGACGAATTCCGTGTTTCGTCGATGCAAGACGGATACCCTTGCATAAATCAAGTCATTGTTTCTTTAAATAACAATTGTGTAGCTTGTTCTATGCAAGGGAATATGTCCTTTATCATCTTGCAACGACATTAATTTAATAACTGAAGACGTCTCGTGCCGACGCAGGCGTGATCAAGTATTGAACGTTTATATTTTTCGTTTTTTCTTTGTTTGTTTACAAATTTGACGCACTCGAAATTACTATGATGAGTGATTTAAAAGAAATGGTATTACAGTTTACGAATGAACGTAAGATTTCAGTCAATATTGAAATCGGATGATTCGCGTATGAAAATTTTCGTTGATCGTTTGTTGTTTTGTCATTTACGGTATTAGTTAAAAAGGTTGAACCGTTTCATACGGGCTTAAATCATACCACGATGACCGATTTGTATTTTAAAAACCTGATACTTGTATGGCGATAGAATCATGCTACCATCTTGTATATCAGTGATCTGTAAACAACTATTAAACGTATTTTGTAACAATGTTAAACTAAACTAAAACACACCTGCATCAGAGCACATGTACGAACAATAGTTCCAGCAGAACATAAGGTTGTATGGCAGCTTAGATAAAATAAACAGCGTCCTTCGTCGAAGACTTTATGCTCTGTGTTAAAAATCGAGTACGGTGTGTTTCGTTTCTTTACAAAATGCTGCTCATACAATACAATCAATGTATTTGGTATTCGTTTTGAATTTCGATAATCCGTTAGCATTTTCTTTCCACGAAATGCTCTTTTATCGAAACAAATTGAATTTAATCTACGACGCTGATTTTCAAGGTAGGCTTATCTAATAGTTCTGCAATGGTTTTTTGTTACTTTTTTTTGTTTTGTATCTCATTATCGTCGTTTCCTACGTTTCTTCAAAGACTGGAACTTCCGTGAAAGCATGGTAGCTTTATTTGTGATATAGTGCCTTTTTGAACTTTTATTGCATCGCGCCTCCTTTTTGCTTTTGTTGTTGCTGTTGTTCTCGCTGTTGTGCTTGCGCGGACGCTTCCGTATCTTTAATGTGTTTCTCCACCTAAAAATGTACGTATTATAGTACACTGTAATCTTACAATCTCAAAATATATGCTTACCACTTTCTTTACATGTTTGTACGCTCCTGACTCTGCATTTCCATGAACATTGTCCACTTTGTACGGCGGTCTAATCGTGACATTGTCAAATACAACAATATTGGCACCATTCCACGTGATTTCTGGAATGGTCTTTGATATTGTATTGAAGAGTTTCTGTCCTTCTGGAGATACTCCGGCCTGCAGAGCCATTACCAGTTTTTTTTTCTCTTCAATTTGATTACGTACTCTTCTGTTTAGTTTTTGCAAATTAAGGCTTTGTGGTGGTTCACTAGTTGTAGGACTAACTTCCCGCTTAACTTGGACCTCGGATACCAAGGATAAATTTACTATGTGTACATCGTTTAATGTTGGTGCACCACTAGATGACGGACATTCTAATTGTAATTAGTTAAGGAATCATGTCTACCATGAAATAGCAAAATAATATATACTTTATTCGACAAACGTTCCCGTTATAAGAATTAGCTTGAAAATACATTCTCAGGTTATAAGCATGGCGTTTAGAAGAGGTCTTTTATTGGATTAGAAACGCGCGTGTTCGCGATTTTTTCAAGGAACAACAGAGAAAGTGTTCCCGTACGTCGTGAAAATTTGGCCGTGGATGAATAGGTTGAACAATAAAAGCAACGGAAAATCCAGCATGGTTGATTAAATGACGAAACTAACCTGACTTCGTGCAGTTGATTAGATGATCACTAAATAATTGACAAGCGTTTTTATACGCTCCTCGTAAAAAATTGCAAAATACAACTTCATGCTTGTATATTAAAATTAATGAAAGCTATCGCGAATACGTCGAAAGTTATTTACACTGCGGCAATGTTAAACGAGTTACGGATGAGCTGAATACATGTATTCGTCGGGAAGGGCGATACTTTGAGGGAATTTACGAGAAAAGGATACTTAGGATCAGCATTTTAGTTTGTGGATCGAACGCTAACACCTCGCCTTCGATCTCCTCCTTGTAACAGGTTTTACAGGCCACCGTACTCCCAATGCTGAAACAATCGTTCGCGCCGGCCATTTTTCACTACGAACTCTAAACCGCGGACTCTGTATCGCCATCTGTTCTGATTTCAAATGTCCCTCAAAATTTGTACAATTTGCGCCCTCCTTGGTGAATAACTTAGAACTCAAATTCTTTTGAATTTAAATCAGTCTATTCGAAGAATAAAATTCAACATTATATTATTAGAAAGTACAAGCTGATCTTAATAGTCGCAAACAAGACAAGAAGAGTTGAGGCAATAATTTATTTTCTTGTTATGGTATTAGATTAAAATTAAAACTATGGAAAACGACAGACGTACCCTTCGGTAAAGAGGTTTCCTCTTCAGACAAATTTTGAGTCAAATATAATAAATAATGGAGTAAAGGAATTGGAAGGATATAAATTTTGATAATAAATTTATCTATCAAAAGTGCAGAACTATGTTCCAAGAGGCAACAACATTTATATATATTAAATAGCTTTTAATAATTTTCGATTTATTGTTCTCTTATTAATAATTATTTGACAATTGCTTTCTTATACGTATAAAGATAATTAATAAAATTTCATCTTTAGACAAATGGAATTAAGGTAAATTGAAGACACGTATATAAATGAATCAAATTATAAAAGATTATTATTGCGAGTAAAATTTATTACCTTCAAACAATTACATTCATCTTTTATTAATTTCACTGGCTTTTATATTGCGTGGTGCATGGTTCAAGCATTGCGAATAATTTCGGCTGCCTTCGTACGGTGTTCGTAATCCTTCGGTCGTGTCCGGGGTACATCGGAGGGAATCGGCTTGGCGGGTAGTTTCACGATCGCGTGGCTTCTGTCCGGCTTCCAGTCTATAGATTTCGCTCCGTCGTGATACGTCGTAACGCGTGTGTTGTCAAATTTTCAAAATTTTTTTTTAATAATTAATTAAGTGACATTATTTGTGAGTGTTTCTACTTTCCCCAGTTCATCAGCATGGACATGTACACGATGGTTGAGGGTGATGCTCATCTTTTCATCAGTTCTTCAGAATTCTTCTCAGGGTAAGTTAACTATATTTTTTGTTGCGTAGTTTATATATTTTTATATATAAGTAAATATCATATCAGAACTCATACATAATTTGATTAATAATGTAAAATATCGATGATTAAATTGCTGTCAACGCGTTTTAATATATTTTGAGGATAGAAGTAGGTTGATTTGTAGACTCAGTTCATTTCATTTAACTGTTCGTACGGAAAGGGGATTAGGATCATAATTTCACGGTAAAGTTATTCTGTTTTATGAAACACCTCCCCTGAAGTTTAGTCTGAAATATGTCGTGATGACGCTTTTTGTCGGTAAAAAGCTTTTCAGCCAAGATTATTAATCTCACAGTGTCTTATCCGGATTAACGGACGCATGAGATATTGTATTAATTAAATTAATGTTTAAAACGCTACATTATTGGCGGCCATTTTGACACATTAGACGTCACCGTAAGACATGTTTGAACACGTTACTTTTCTTTTTCCGAAAAGACATATGTTGTTAATAAATTTTTAAGGAAATTAGTTTTTAATTTTAATTCCAGATTCTTGTATGTTTGACATAAGATATTCTGTTCTATCTCGTTGAAATATATTTAATATTCGAAAGTATAGAACTCTAGTGCAAACAGTTTCCAAATTATATTAAATTACCGAATTATGCGTCCGTTAGATTTTTGCATTTTAAATTACAACGTAATGTTATTTTCATGTTGCGGGACGAAATAAACGTTGTGAAACGCGTTATTCGGTTGAAGTTCTCAAAGTTTAAGATCGTTGCATCGTGGAGAGCGTGCTTCTTTCTTAGAGTTCGTAACGATGCTCGAGGCGAAACATCAACTAGAACTTTCGAAAACTGTAAGGCGGTTGGTACTGTTCCGAACAACAGTAGCCGCCGATCGAGGGTGTCGAAATGTAAATAATATGACGCGGTGTTGTAGTAGCTCCTTAATGACCTGATTGTAATTTTACCAGCTCAGTTTTTGTCTAGTGATCGATACGTTTGTGTTCAGAATTATGTGCATGCATATCTTGTCTATGTTTTCTGACGCTAGTTATGCACCTCGGATTACGAAATGCATACAAAGCACCAGCATACGTTATTCTGCTAAACTTTGTAGAAGTTCAGGAATAATTTATGTACCTCGTATCAAGAACGTTGCAGTTGTTTGTTTAAAGTAGAATTTGTTGTTTGTAAAAAAAAGCTCAGATACGTTTGTGCTCGTTTTCTGGCACTGAACAGGCTTGATTGAAATTGTTTCGGAGCTTTTACCTTCGGGAAAAATTCGCAGCTTTGTCGTCTTTTCCACGTGGGACGAGTCGTGAAAAATTGTTCCGCCGATAGATTCATCCGATAAAGTTCGATTGGCTGTAACGTGGATTTTCACGCTGATATTGGAAATTTTCGTACGCTTCAAACGATATAAAAAATTTGACCGATAATCAATCGACCAATTTTCGCATAATAAAATTCCTATAAAAAGTATTATGCTTTGTAACTTGTGCAACAAGAAAATCAAGTACGAATATCGTGTATTTTTACGACAAAATGATTGTCCGTGACTTTGTAGCTATTTTATTTCATTTTGAATTTTCTCTACATAAAACATTGCGAAGATCTTTAATGAATTCTATAGCCATCGTTAATCTGCATGAAACAACAGGCATTCGTGTACATTTGTTCGATAACACGAAACGCCCGCATCTTTGGCCATGAATTTTCGAGTTCGATTAGATCCTAGTCATTGAGAATCGCAGGCCCGTGTGTTCGTAAATTCGACCGAAAAATATCCGGGACCATTTGACTATGTGAGCATTCGATAAATGGGAAAATAATGTATATCACGGAACAACGATTCTATTTGCCTAGTTTCATCGATTGGAATCAATTACCGTGCCACGTGAATTTCAAATTCTACGAGGAACGTTCAGAAGCTTATTAAAACATTATAATAAGGTTATTACTCATTGTACATTTGTCTGAAAGTTAATTAAAAAGTTGTACTCGTACCGATACAATCATTCGTTTTCCTACGTGCAATTTTAACACGAAGTCTTGCATTTACGAACCACCACCTTCTCTCGTTAATCCGCTTGCACAAAAGTTCAACCGGATAAGGTGGGTATTGTTTTGGGAGCGACGTTCATCCTCTTAGTACGCGGAACAATTAAAGGATTATTGTATAGTCGAAATTAGCGAATGTCTCATTTTACACGCATTAGCGGTGGTAAATTAGAAAGTTTAGAGCAGGAAGACAAGGCTCGTTAAAATGCTATTTATTGAAGGACGTAAAAGATTTGTGTCGAACTTCGATTTTTCGTGGTTTCGTCTCGTGAAAACGTAGACGTTATTTACGATTTGCTCGTTCATTTAAACACGTTTTTTTCAGTGGCCGATGTCGGTAAACACAATTAGAGCAGGAACGATTGTCCGTGTCACGTGTTTATAGATAGACTCCGCTTATTTGTGTGTATAGGAGTATGGGATACGATCCGGCGAGCATAAATCAGTAGGACGTTCGTATTGCACTATTGTGCGGCCATCTTTTAGCTATACAGTAGAACTAGGCCAAACTGGGTACATTTTCGTCTGCTATTTCAATCCGTGCAAACAATTTTTTCCTTTAAAGTTTCTTTCGCTTAAAACCCTGTGCAACATATTTTTTCTTTGCAAGGAAAGTTCATAAACTCTGTTTCCTTCTGTTTGTATTTACACATTCCGTGTTTTTCGATTCGCAATCCGCATAGAATAAATATTGTATTCCAGAATCGTTCGTTATCGAATTCACTTCATTTTACCACTGGCGTGTTCCTATGAACTTTTTTATTGGGCGGATCAGTCTTGTTAAAAATTTAAAACGATCAGATTTCACAGGAAGAAGGCTAGCTCGTATTTTGGGGGATCAGTGCCACTTTGACCTCTACCTAGCTACGTCGATGGAAGTTGCTGAATATTCGTAGTAGACTTTGTACATGAAAGAGAGAATTATGTTCGCTGCATATATTTTCGAGTCGAGAATGATTTACAATAGAGAAAGGTAGTAGTTTGACGAAGTATCGTCGAAAATGAACTCGCGTTTGAAGTAGCGCAGGGCCGACTTAGCTACGTCCTATAAATACTAACTTATTGCGAACACGTGCCACTTGTTTAGACGCATAAATTATGTTCCGTTATCAAAGTTTGATGTACCGGCAAATTAAGTTTATGCGAAAATTACTTGCGTGCTTCATTTCTAATTTCGTTAGACGTGTCTTTGAAGTTTCGTTTATGGCCATTGTTTCGGTCCATATTTTGGTTAATTCTCGGGCTAATTATGCCTTAACTACGGTGCAAATTCCACAAGTTTTCCCCACTCGATATTTTGCTTGTCGTCACAAAATTCATCGAAAACAGCGCTGCTGTTACGAAGAAACGTAATTTATTATTTTTGGACATTTTGTTTCTCCTATTATATTTTGGAAAATCAATGATACGCTCTCGTAGGAGTTTGCGTATTTTTCTTCAAAACTACGAATTCCGCAGTGAAGGAAAAATTCGCATGACGTGGCAATACTTTATTCGAATAGTACTCACTTTGATTAAGCTCCGTTATTCGTTAAAGTGTGACAAAATTCTACAAACACGAAACTGATAACCTCATGAATTTGTCAATTTAATAGATAACGCATTAGAATTAGTTTCCTCCAATATCCTCTAAATTAGTTGAATTTTTCGCTATAAGTTTTATCTAGAGGTGTAGATGCGTAGCAAGAAAAGCGGAAAACGAAGTTTTACTATGGTATATTATGTAACGCGATTTCCTTATCAGCGACACGAATAAATGTTGCTCGAGTAATTTTTATAATGGTTCGAACAACACGAGATAGTATGATAAGAAAAATTGTTTAGTTTTACATAAATAACGTTTCGAAATTATAATGTTCATTGATCGATTGGAAACTCGTGATCGTTTGTCGAAGTCACGAAGTCATTATTCGCAACAAGCGTCGTTATGCCGGTCGACCGTTGTCACCGAAAATTCATATCGTGGCCAAAAATTCGGTGTTTGTTGGCAAAAAGCCCGCATGGTTTGCTATCGCGATCGACAGTGGCGTATTTTCGGGGTAAAGAAGGTCCATTTCTCTTTCGACTTGTTTTCCTAATATCTAAGTAAAACAATCTCTAACACAATTTTTTTCCGACCAAATTATGTTTATTGCATCTAGATTCTACATGGATTCATTAGAGTATAGATTAACGAAACGAACGAAAAGATGGCGTCAGAATTTAAAAATAAAGCGACATATTCGTTCGAAAGAAAATAATGAAAAAACAGGGAGAAAAATAAATAGACGGAGATACATTAAATGAGAGGAGAGTGAACTCAGAGTTTTTTTATAAACTGAAAGCACGGTCAATATGACGGTGAAGTCTGGAAATAGATTCGAACTTCCTCGCCAATGTTTCGCTTTGTTTCACGTTAAAATCGTTATCCGATACAACAATGGAAAATCAATTAATCCGTCCATAATTTTCATGCTGATTTTGCTATCTTCCATTTTGGAAGATAGGAAGCTTGGCGCATTGAAACTAACGTCCACGATCGCGAAATTCGGGCAGATTTTGGGATTTGATAGTTATTAGCGCGTGGGAACTGACAAGGTTGCGTAAAAGGGATCTTCGTTAATCCTGTCTTAATTGCTTTTCGAACTTTCTCCGATCAACTTTAATCCTTAATTATCGGGATTCGTACCTATTTCCTGCTTTGACCGCGTCGAATAGTCTCGCTTATCGATCATCGCTAAATAAAATGACTTTGCAGAGTTCGATCTATAGATCTCTGCACGCGTTGTTTCGTGACTTCTGCGAGTTGGGACGCGTCGGTGATTACCTTTATTATCGCGCTTTAATCTCGCTATTAGGGACCCACAACACAGCTGTTCCATTTAAAATGTTTCAATCGAAACGGTATAAAATCGTTCGACAGCCGAACGTGATTTACGAAGTTGACATTTCGCTACGGAAAACACGAACCTTTCGAGTGTCGAACGAAAGTTTGTTGCGCCATTATGTCGAGCATCTGTGTACGCAAAACGCTGTCGTTAGCGGTAAAGGGCAAGGAATCTAGAAAAGCGACGTGAGCGAAATAAATTTCCGTTGTTTCTAGTGTTCCGCGCTTTTCTCTCGAAACGCTGACTTTAGCAGTGGGAATATGTAACGAGATTCGCTGTATTTTCGTAACGTTGACGCCAAGCTCGAAAATATTATTCCTTTATCATCTTCGGGGCTGTATCTTTTGGATATTCGAAGCGTATCCGACAGGACTGAATTTATGTCTCGCGTGGAAGCCCGAAGGCTGTTTCCAAAGAGCCTGATTTACAGCTCGCGATTCTAATTGCGGAAATTATAGCCGAGGAATTTCGATGCAAGATTTCCTTTGAGTAGGTACGATTAGTTTATTTAAGAAAATATTATAAAGCTCATCTCCTCTTAGCTAGGGATCGTTTGAAACTCGATCAGACCGATTGCCATCGAATTTGGTTATGCGATTGGTTGTGCGTAACGTTAATTCAAAATTTAATCGAACTAACACAATATTGCTTGGGAACTGAATTATTTGTACGTATCTACAACACATAATTTGGATAGAAAATGTTGTCTGAACGCGTTCAAGAATTAATTTTTGGTACTTTGAAGTAGAAGCAGGATTTACGTTCTTCGATGTAGTCTGGAAATCGAAACTGCTCTTATGTTAACAGCTCAACGATACATCGTAAAATGTTTCTTTTTCGCCCACACACGCGGGCAGAGATCGAACTTCGGCGTGGCTATCGAATTATTTATATCGTTTTTTTTACGTACTAGTTTCCAGCGAAAGTGGCAAAATCGCGTACATCTTTCCGCGTTAAAAGTACTTAAATAGGTTTATTTCGTCGCGAAACGTTCGTTAGAAGCTTTCAAAACGAAAGAGATAGATAAGATAACGAGTGCATTAAACAAGAATTTTCTTAGTCTGAATAGAATATTTTCTCAACGTTCCACGGAGGAGTATCGTGCAAATGTAATTGGTTTTATTTCCGTTCTTGGTCGTTCTATGCCTAATTTCGTCGAACTTGACACGAAACTGCGACACGGTTGTAATTAGCGACTCGTGAAGGAGCTGTCTAGTTGCACCGATACTTAAACCGGATTTACGCGAAGTAATTATGTCAGAATTAGAGCGCAGCCAGACTCGGATCGTTTAGCAAATGAGATTTCCTTGTCGTAAGTTACGGTTGGTTGAAATTTTGGGAAGACCACGTAACATCTCGTAAGCTTGTTTGGGAATTGAATGTCGTTTAACGACACTTTGGACATTCGGTTTATTAGGTATAGGCTTGGAAGTACGGTACGGATGAAATACCGTCTGTTAAACTGTACTTTTATCGACTCTCAAAGTCCAACACTCCTTCTGTGCACTCGTGGAGACCGGAGAACGGAATTGATAGAATCTCTCGAGTTTGTCGAGCGTTTGCTTCCAGTCACGTGGTCACGGAGGGTCAATAGAGCTTTATTTCGGGATGAGGGAATCCTCTATTAATGAATCACGGCTTCAATATATCACACGTCCGCTACGATCTTAACCGGTTCGCCTCGACCATGGATTCGTCACGTTTCCCCTAACCAGAAGAGATCCTTGATTATTCGATCGATGACCGAAGTTCGATGAAGCGTTGTAATTATTTAAAATTCGATAGTCTCCTCGATTTCAATTTTTCATTCGGTGTTTGGAATTTCCTGCAGGTTTCCTTGGAATTATTTTCATTAAAGATCTTAAGTTACTCGCGCGTCGGAGTCCCGCGGTGCTCTCTTTCGAGAATCCCCGAAAAAATGGAGTTTCATACGGTTACTTGGAGAAGCGAATTCAAGAAAACAGATAGAACGAATCTCGATTGGCAATCAGGTTTAATGAAGCACGTAAACGGGGTCATGGTTGTGTAACGCGATGCGCTTGCGTCTTTTGATGATTTTAGCAGGTTTGCCTTAGTAAAAGCTCGACATGTTTTCAATACCGTGGAAAAACCTTGAAACCGGGTAGATCCTCGCGAGTATCGTGCTGTAGTCTTTTTAAACGAAGCCGAGACCTTCGACGTCGAAAGAAAAGAAAATGCTGAGCACCGTGAAAAAGCTTCGTTCTTTTCTTCTCCTAAAGTGTAAAGTAAGTATGTATTTAGTCGGTTCAAATCGGATAACTCTTAAATCTTTCGCAGTTTCCGCCATTAATTCCATCTTAGAAATTTCCCGAAAACTTTACAGCTTTCTGTGCGCAGTTGCGAGTCCGCGTCGAAAATATAGAACGTTCTCTTTCAAATTACATGCAAATGGAAAATTACCTCCAATAATCTCATCAGTTACTGATATCGAACGATTTGGAAGATGAGTCCTCGATATATTTTCATTGGTCTAACAGGGTTGAAGCTTTTGCAAAGATCCTAATCCCGTTGATTCGAGTGGAACGCTTCATGTTTCGAGAGATCGCGTCAAAAGCAATTTTCATACGAGCAAATTATACACAGTGGTCATTAGTATGAGTCAGTGCTACGCGCATAGTTTGTGTATCTAAGCGGATACTGATCGTGCATTTCGTATCTTTGAAACAGCACACTAGGCTTTATATTAGCATAAAAGACATTTTCATTAGTCGAATTGCGGAACTCCATTGTTTGTGCTTTAGAGTACGAACTCTAAAGAAAAAAATAAATTAATCTCCAGTGTATCCTTTTTTCTGACGCTGATTTTTTTCTGTGCAGGATCACAATCGCGCGTTACGGTGTTTAAGAACGGTGCAGAGAGAAGTATGCGAAAAAGATCGATAATCGAGGAGCACCCGAACGTTTCTCGACGCGAACTCATCGGCGGACAAGGAATTCTTTCGAGGGTCCGAAAGTTCGCAAATTGCGGACGCAGTTAAGCGAAACTCGCAGGGGTATGCGATGGAAAACATGGTCGCAAATGGCCGACAAGTGGTTGCAACCAAAGTGTCGCCGTTAAGAAGTTAATCGCAGTCATGTCGAACGAGACTAACGCGACGGACGATTTTCTCGACTACGACATCAACGAGTCGTTCAGCTTCTTCGACTGGACGGAATTGGCACCCACGCTAGTCGTCTACTCCCTCACATTTTTCCTCGGTTTGATCGGTGAGAGAATAAATGAAATTTTTTATTTTGTTGCGATACCGAAATAGATTAACGAACGAAGGGACGCGTGAAATTTAAATTCGCAATATCTCAGTTATATTAATTTGAAAATTTGTTCGTTTTATTTATCGAGCGGTTCAAGTCGACCGTATAACCAAATGGAATTGCAGTTTTTATTTTGAAAATTGTTGTAATAAAAATTCCTCGATAGATTTCAAATTATTCGCCCGCAAATAAAACACGCTGACAATAAAAGTTGCTCGGACGTTTGCATAGTTATCGCGATAGATTTTCCCTTATCGCTGTTACTGTCCGCCTATCGGGTTGTACGGACGAACTGGAAAAGTATTATTTCAAGAGGCGACGCAATGATTAATTTTATCATCCGCTTCCTCCGTTATGTCATTGTTATACGAGTAACGATCGAGTTGCACTAAATTACTAGTCATTATTCTTTTGATAAACAAGTGAAATAATTTTTAACTTATTCGAATGTTATTTTTCGTGAATATTCTTTGGGTGAAAAATGCGTGGTTGATCTGTGAAAATTTAACGAGTTCGATGTCTAATTTTTATTTCAGGAAATGTTGTCATCATCGCTTCTACGTTGTGCCCGAGATTGAGACCCTTACCAGCTACACCAACCAACGTCTTCCTCGGCGGTTTGGCTACGGCTGACCTTTTGCTTATAACTTTCTGCATTCCTGTAAAGGTGAGTTTTATCATACACACCATATATACTCGGTACATTAATTTTACTAACAAGATCCAAAGTTTAACTACCTCGTGATTTAATATTCAAAAGTTGTGGTAGAGTTTCAATTGTTCCCTTCACGAACGCTTTTTTCTTAAAAGTCTAATAAAGTATTAAAAAGCAACAAACTCGAGATTGTCACGAGGTTGGATGGACTTTGATGACGGAATCGGAGACACGTTGTCTTCGATCTGACGGGAAGTCAGTGTCAAGAAGGTGTCGGGATGTTCTGGCCTGAATGAATATAAAATCGAATTGTGCCAAGTTCTAAAATTACGTATCCGAGAATCGGTCCTCGTGTCGAGTACGTGTATGCCATTACGTTCGTTTCTCTTTTACAGCCATTGTAGGCCAATTACATTTCGTTCCTTACGACTTTGTTATTTTCTTTCCGGCCGGCTAAATTGAACTTGGCAAGCTCTGACATACACGTATTTTCGAGTTTTCTGCTTTTATCTTTACGCGTTATAGCCACCCGTGCGTTTTATTAGCATCGTTATTTATTTCTCTTCGTTTCGACGCGATTATTCTATGATACCTTTGAAATTCGTTTCGAAAACAATCAATCTTTAGCCCTCGGACTCTTAGTTGTTTTACTCGAGACGCAAACCTGAACGCGTACGAGCGAGATTAATTACTTTAATTTTCAAATGGAATAGACTAAAATAAAAAGATGAAAAATATTAATTGGAAGGTGCATTTAAATTTCCTTCCTCACCTCTTTCGTTGCACCGAACTGTAAATATCCGAGGCGAATGCACAGAGGATGAAGGAGATTATAATTAAGAAGTTAATTAAAGTCACCCTTTTCAAGTTAAAAGCGATACTATTGATTATTTCGTTTGAAACTTACTTTATTACCGAGTTTGCCTCGCTCCTTTCGATTCGAACAATCTTTCCTTCTTTTAACAAGATGGAAATCAACTTCTTCTCTTTGCAAAGAATTACACTCGTTTAGAGCTGACTTCTTTTTTCAAAGACTGCGTATCTCGATAGATTTTGCCTTTGCGCTTTCCCTCGAGATAAGAGAATCCCTCGACGTAACTTGTCCTTGTTTGGAAAGAACGGGATTCGCAAAGGGTCGAAGGGTCGGCATGAAAAGCGAGTCTCCTTTCGACAGTGGTTATTACTTTATAAACGGGGCAACAGTTTAATCCGGCGATGACGAGGTGTTGATTTACCGACGTTTCGTTGACAGCGAGAGCTGTCTTTGAGATCGTTCTTCGCGACACGCTTCAAGGGGTCATGATTCAATTTATTATCGGATCAATTCGAGCCTTTCAGGCTTAATGACAGCCTCCGGGAATGGGGTGACGTATTTCCGTCACTTTTTTCGTTTCTTTTTTCTACTCTATTAACTTTGGAGGTTTATGTTTCCCGATTGATGCTCGTTAAATCGATGTTACTCGTTAGCTCGAACGTTGTTTTCGTAATGACCCGACGAATTTAACAATTCAAATTACACATAGGAACCATTGACCGCCATTCAAAATGATCGAGTATTGTTTAAATCAGGAAACTAAGTTCCACGAATCCAAAGCTCACGCGATGAAAAGGAAACTCGTTTATTTTCGAGTTTGAACGTCGAAAATATTCTCTGCTACGCTAGACCGCGACGTTCCCAAATTTATAGGACCGAAGCGAAAGAAATAATTGCTTATTTACATGTTTCGAAGTTTCTCTTTGAAACTTCCAACCGAATGTAAATTCTCCGCGTCGTTCTTCATAATCGTTATGTGTTTTCCGAGCAGAAATCATCGAGTCTCTAGCATTTATTTGTGGAAAGAAATAAAGTAACGTTCCTAGTAGAGGAAACTTCCTCAAACGAGATTCTTGATCTTCCATTAAGAGATAGATGTTTAACGTTCTATCAAAGAAGTTTTCGCCGCTGGATTCCGTGGGTATTTTAGGAGTTTCAATCTGGATACACGTTTCTGTATAATAGACGTATGCTAGTATGCGGGCAGATATTCATTTAATGCTTTTATAGTTTGTCCCGCTATCGGGGTCAGCTCGAATAATTTTTCTCATTATTCGTGAGAATATTTGCAGTAGGACAGCCACTATATTTAGTGCCGTGACGCGTTTAGTATGATCGAACTGGTTGAAATTGTTTTAGGTGAAAATAATGAGGTAACCCAGTAATGTATATTAACGAGTATGCGTACATGGGTAAAATTTGAGTTGGCAGGTTATTAGTTGATATCCCGCAGCTGCGTAATTCCACGGTGTTTCGTTGGTTCGATCATTATTATCTATGGTGGTGACATTGTTGGCCGGGTACGCAACCCGACTTATATCGTGTTACTCGTAGAAGAGGAAGGGGAACACCCCGAGCACGAAATAAAAGCAACGACACCGCACCCGGCAGATTTATTCGTTATGCCGTAGAAATAAAATCTCTCTTCTGTCCCATGCTCCTATTTCCTTTCTTGGAAAAAAACATAATATCCTGGAGGTTTGCCCTGGCCATTCCATGAGGCGAAAAAGTCGAAGGGTGGCGCTAGAAACGACATCCTCCGTATATTCCGGTTGGCGTTCGACGCGAGAAAAATGGGAAATTCAAGCTCAACGCAAGCTTCTTTCGGCTATGGGGTTCGGAGTGACGAGGTTCAATGGAGCTTGATAAATATTTATGCACGTCGACGATCGTTGGTTTTGTGTAGTTGCCGACCATTCAGCGAGACGAATTTAGTTATGACATATCGACGTTATTACATACATTAGGTTTTAACACGTTTTCGTGCCTCAAGAGTACAAAAATATAATAATGCAAAATTTGTTATTCTGGTTCGATCCTGTTCGAATTTTAAGTTACGTTTTAAAGCACGTAGATGATTAGTTTCTTTATCGATGCATAATTTCAATTGTTAAGGCATCCATGCCTTGGGCAAGTAAGCTCGCAAAGAGTTTTAATATGTCCCGTTAAATTGACCTCCTATGTCCTGATTACGGATACGAGCCGAGTACGAGGAAAATTAAAAATTAAACAAAAGACAGACGTTGAAATAATATTATCTCGGTAATAAGATCTCTGCTTTAGAAGTATAGTGTTGATTCTCTTGTCCCGGTGCGAGCAACGCGAACGTAGTTTTATTGGAAGGGTAATTATAATCGATTCGTGTAACTACCCTCAATCCCGTTTCAGGCGAGTGCTTTTCACAGAAATTACGTCACAATTGTCGTCACAATACGTTCTAAAACAGTCCGTAATTTTAGTTATTTGAATCGGGCTGTATTCGCGTTTCCAGGCGCGACAACGAAAGAAACGACACTTTCTCGAAGACAATCTCGTTAATTAGTTCATATTATTTCTCGATCGTAGATTATTTGCTTTGCATTTTTCCTTGTGTTTACCCATTTTTATCAACTTAAAATAATTCATTTTTATTGGCATAACGATAACTTGAGTACCGTAGAGAGCAACAGGTACGAGAGCCATCGATGCGAAATAATTTATCGGTTGCCTCGCAGCTCGCTAATTTATTCCGAAATTTTATAATCCCCTCGGTTATTATCGAACGATGTACACATTTGTTGCCTTACAGACAAATTAAATAGAGTGCTACCATTACGACGCTCCATAACAATTCAATAGTTATCGTATTTTGGTGATCGAATTAAAATATACATTGATTACACATAATTCAATTAACCGTAATCGTTTAGTCGTACTCACGCTTAAACGAATTCATATTTATGTAAATTATTTACTTGTCGAATATTGTAGGAGTCGACAGGGTTATTACACTACTAGTAGTTTATTAACATTAGTGAATTACGATAAAGTCTTTGCCCTCTTTCAAAATAGATTCCATTATTAGTAGGTAGATAAACATCGAGGGAGCTGGTACTAAAATTAAATGGTTATTTGTTCGATTATGAGAGCGACGCTTTTGCGTGTTGGCGTCTGCTGAATGAACGGCTGATCATGCACTGATCTTTACTACTTGCGCATGTCAAATCGTACGTGTCTGCTTTTCTCCTCGATCGCGTTACGTCCGTAAATAATACACGATGCATGGCCATTCGTGATCAACTTTCCAATAAATATTGTGTGATCTCAAGAAGGAAAGATTCTTCTTCCCATAACTCTTGAAGCGAAGTTTGATTTACTGTTTCACAGATGTTCACTGTACGAGCCTGAATTCGTTCCACTTACGTATTTTCGCGAAGTATTAAAAGTAGTCGTGGGCTTTCGTGTTCGAGAAGAAAATAGAAGGAAACTTTCCTTTCATCGAATCGCGAAATAGAATAGAACTTGGACGGTGAGCTACCGATCGCGTGTTCTGAACTTTCGAAAAAAAAAAAAAAGAAAAAAAAATGCTGAACCACTATTCCAGATTGCAGAAGTTTCTCGCATTATTTGATTATCTAGCCAGAGAGATTATTCTCGAACGCGTAACGCCAGAAATTTCCGAAAACGTTCGATGCTTCTCGATGCTTGTCGAGCTTTCGGAGTATTAGCTTTTCCAGACAGGAAGTCCTTGACTGTGTGTTGCGAGAATCGCTTTCGCCATCGACGCGGAAACTTTGGCAGTTTTATATCATGACGTATCTTTTGCCGCTCCTTTTGGCAATCGACTGGTTCGAAGTTGTCCCTGGTTACGGCTTCGAGCGATATAACGATCGGGAATATGCGAGCGAGGTCCGTTGGATTAAAATGTTAAGTATTACTGGGGAATGGGAGTTTTTGACGTTTTCTTGGCACTATTCCTTGCCAGTGAACAAACATTTGGAAAGCGTATTTGTCGCGATGGTGTTCCCTCCTGTTACGGTCTCGAATAAAATTGTTATTTTCGAGTGTCGACTATGGTGACTTTTTCAGCGTCGATAATCATAACATTATCTCATCGTGACTAAGCAAGGTCTTTGAAACAAGACAATTATGTAATAGGAAATCGAAATTCATTTCAGTTACGAGTCTTTTCTATAAAACACTTGCGAGGTTTATTCGC